TATTGAAATTAAAAATAACCTAACCTTTAGTTTATAACACGAGTTTTTAATTCAAAGGTCACATTTGACAACTGAATCAGGTGTCTTCTTATGGCCAAATGGGTCAAATTTAAATTTAAATGGAAAGGTGGCTGGATTTCTCTCTCTCTACATGTCTATCATGATCAGGATGTTGCAGCCTGACACATCTGGCCTGGAAAAGTCCACAGGAACGCGTTTTGACAGCGACTACGCATGCATGAAGAAAAACTTTAATTGCCACATGCCAGCTACGCAGAATGGGGAGGTATGGTCGGTTTTTGCTGCAGACTTCACACCTGAAGTATCCCTGAAGCACAGACCTTTTTTTTTTTTTTTTTTTTTTTTTTTGCTTCTGCAGTGCCAAGGATCGCCAGCCGCAGATTTGCGTCGCAGCATGATGCTCTGTGCTGAACAGAATGGTGGCTGGTTCACCCCAAACCTGACATGACAGCAGCTCCAGGGCAACCCCAAAGGGCACCCACCTCTCACCGAACCGTCTGCAATCAGCTCCCCTTAGATTCTCCCAGTCATCCATGCACAAAAGCGCACCGGACTGCAGTCAAAAAGGTGGAAGACTCTTCTTACCTGGCAGGCGCGCAAGATAATGGCTGCTGTCACCGTAGCTGACAGGAGGCGACGTGTAGTTTCTGTAGTATTCTGCGCTCTGATAAAACGCTGTTGCATCCCTCAGCTGCAGCGCCATCACCGCCGGAACATCCCTCTGCCAACTTCTCCTCTCCAAGAGAGAAAAAAACCCGGGTTGTCAGGATGGATGACAGTGCCTACCGACGCGCAGACACTGCGCCTCTCAGCGGAGGGGGGATCTCCAAGAGGAAGCGGATCCAGAAGGGGCCAGGCCGCTAAAAACGGACGCCTTCGTCAATCAAAACGTGGCTTTACTAATTCTTCGGGATTAAAACATTTTATTCGTGAAAACTGATTTCCCCCCCCATCTCCTTAATGCTGCACAGATCCCAGAGCGTCCCTCCCCTTCTTGGTACAGTCCATTTCCGATGCCACTGCTGCTCCTTTGCATGGGTGGCAATAATGACACATTGTGTAAATACGTTACACCTCTGTGGTTCAGTCCCATCAACCCAAGCTGGAGGCTCAGGAGCCCGAGTACCAGAATAAAGCCATAAGAGGTAAAACCCAGTTTAATGACTTTTCAACTGTTGTAAGTAATGCTGCTGTTGTGATGCAATGTAAATGAAATCACCTCGATGATGGTTTTCCAGGTTTAAAATCACATCCTGGCACTTTTCACCCTTTTTAAAGATCAGATCAGGATTTCTGTAGGGCCCTTGAGCAAGGCTGAGCCCAGATCAAGGCAGCGTCATATGTAGTAATTCATTTAAAAAGGACTTCCTGTTTGTTTTTACCCTAACCCTAACTTATAAAGTAAACCTTTTTACTCTGTTTTTTACTAACTGGTTCTAAAGACAGCCTCTGTGTTTTGGTGCATTTTATTCAGCCCTCTTTTGTTATACATACATACATACATACATACATACATACATACATATATATATATATATATATATATATATATATATATATATATATATATATATATATATATATAAAGTGTGTGTGTGGGGGGGTATACTTTGATTTATATTCTGGATTAAAACAGAGAAAAACATCTAGTTAAGTACATGTTTAGACTAATCATGATCTGAAACATAAAAATATACCTCTAACAAGACAACAAGAATGTAACATGCATGATCATGACGTTCTAGTGAGAGAGCACCATGTGTAAATGAAACACACACACACACGCATTGGGGAGGACCAATATCATTAGCCTTATTATAGACAGATATTGGCATGGCATCAAAATGTAATATCGGAAATGATCGGTATTGGTTTTTACTCTTTTGATGACACATCTACACACCACACATATTATTCATCAAACTCATCAACTACTCCTTTCACTCAAAATGTCAAAATATGACAGATCTGCTGTGTAATTTTGAGTGATTTTTATTTGTTTGGCACAGCCGGTCTAACTCCAGTTGAAGTAGCTGCCATATTTTCCACAGTTAAAGTGTGATATGCGATGTTAGTTACATGAAATTATTTAGTTTTTCTTTTCTTCTTTTTTCGGGGGGGGGGGGGGGGCACATATATTGGTATTGATCTATATTGATACTGAACTTTAATAGTATATCGGATGTATCGGTATAAAGGCTGATATTGAAAGTCCCTACTTTATATATTGGTGTGTGTGTGTGTGTGTGTGTGTGTGTGTGTGTGTGTGTGTGTGTGTGTGTGTGTGTGTGTGTGTGTGTGTGTGTGTGTGTGACTTAAAGTCCATTAAACAACTGTCAGCTGCTATCTGTTTTGTTTTCCCTTGGAGCTTTTCACTGTGAAATCTGCCTATAAAAAGTATTTCCATGAAAGCTGTCATGGTGAATCTGCAAACTAGGCTATGAACACAAACATGGTCCTCTTAGCTATCTTCCTTGAGAAGCTTCCGTTGAAACAGGAAGCCACAGTCCAAGTGACTGTGGATCGGACTAAATAAAAAGTGTTTTATTGTTCCTTTTGATCAACTGTGGTGTAGTTATGGCAAATCAGCCATGAGGAAATTACAAGTGGCTTATCAGGACGCTTTTAGAGTCTACTTAGACTCCTGTGATGGACTTCTGCAAGTCAGATGTTTGTTAGTATTAATGTTCCAAATTTTTATGCTGTTTTGAGGAATTATATGTATAAATGTATGTGTCGTCTGAATATGTCTAGTAACACTAGTCAGAGCATTGTCTAACCCAACATAGTGATATAAGATTTTCATCCTCTGCTTGAACATTGGTATACTTGTATGTATGTACAGGGATGATTATGTATTATTTTATATTCTCATCTTTAGAAATTGACAAAAAATTTTGTCTATAAAGTTTATATAATATATGTGTGTGTGTTTTTTTGTTGTTTTATTGACTTGTGCTGGCAATTTCTTCTGCAAATGAATTTCCTGATAGATAGATAGATAGATAGATAGATTGATTGATTGATTGATTGATTGATTGATTGATTGATTGATTGAACCAGAAACCCACATTGTCAAAACGAAATAAAGTAAAAAATAAAGGCGTTTTCTAGGTCCAAATGTCTTTTGTTGTCCGTGACTTCAAAGGGTGTTTTTCTTTTTAGGACTCTATAGTTTGACCTAAAGTTGAAGTGGTAGCAGCCAGCTGTTTCTCCTTCTCTATTATTAAGCGGAGAACCTATCAAACTAAAAGAAAGAAAACTATCTTATGTAGCGTCTCTCAAGAAGAAAATCATGAGGCGCTTCACAAGAACAAACACTTTAAATATAAAATAATTTATTTTAAATGATTTAAAAAAATTAAAAATTGAGATTAGAAATGTAAGGAAATGGAAAATAGAAAATGAATAGGTAAGAGGGAAATCAGTGCATCCCGGGAAAGGTAGAGCTGGTAGAAAAGCAGAATAAGGAGAGAGTGGTGATGAAAGTCACGCTAAAGCCAGCTTGAACAGGTGAGTCTTCAGCTGCTTTTTAAAGGAGACCACTGAGTCCACTGATCTCAGGCTCAGGGGGAGAGAGTTCCAGAGTCTGGGGGCCACAGCAGCAAATGATCTGTCACCTTTGGTCTTTAGCCTGGTGCTGCACAACCAGTAGGCTTTGGTCACTGGACCTCAGGGACCTGCTGGGGGTGTAGGGACTGAGAAGATCACCAATGTAAGATGGTGCTTGTCCATGTAAGGCCCTATAGACCAGAACCAGGATCTTGAAATGAACCCTGAAGTTGACTGGCAGCCAGTGAAGCTGGAGGAGAAGCGGGGTGATGTGGGTGTGTTTGGAGGACTTGGTCAGAAGCCGAGCACAGGCATTCTGAACCACCTGTAGACGGTTCAGGGAGGTTCTGCTCAGACACGTGAAAAGAGAGTTACAGTAGTCTAAGTGTGAGGAGATGAAGGTGTGGAGAACCGTCTCATGTTCTGAGCGGGACAGAATGGGACTCAGCTTAGCAACGTTCCTGAGATGGAGGAAGAGCGAACAAGAGAATTGACAGGTGTTCCGTTGCTAAATATGCAAGTGTGTAACGAATGGAGGACCCAATAATAATAAATAATCATCAAACTTATATAGCGCTTGTTTAGGACACTCAAAGACGCCTTCATGCACTCTCACATTCACACACTGCTGGTGATGGTAAGCTACTTTGTAGCCACAGCCGCCTGGTCTGACAGAGGCGAGGCTGCCATCGGCCCCTCTGACCACCGCCAACACAGGCAAGTTGGGTGAAATGTCTTGCCCAAGGACACAACAGCAGAACACCCCTGGTGGGAGCTGGAATTAAACCCATGACCCTCCAATCATGAGGCAACCCGCTCTACCACCTGAGCTACTGCTGCCCCAATGGTTGCTTTTGGTCTGAAACGTTACTGGCTGAAGTTTTTAGACAAATGCCAATGAACCACTTTGATATATTTCATTTATTAATCTCTATAACACAGTTATAGCTGTTAGCCTACTATGTCAGAATGTTGTTAAGAGGCCTGGAAAATGGAAAATATTTTAAGCTAATTTGTTTAAATTTGCCATAGCAGCATTTAATGTGTCATCAGACCTTGAAATCAGCCTGAAATGCCCCCAAAATGCGGGAATGTGCGTGTGTGTAAAGTGTATGGGATTGTGATATAGAAAACGTGCAGGAGTCCGCTGTCATTCAGTGTTTGTGCGTTTTAAAGGAAAGGGAGGGGCCCGGCTCGGCCCGGCCCGGGCCCCCAGCTCAGCAGACATCGTGGCTGCGTTTGTCGCAGTGACACAACTTGTCCTCCCGTCGACCACCACTTCCCCAGGTGGAGTCCTTCGGACGGGACATGCAAATCTGTCCCTAGTCTCTGTGACGGTAAACCTCACCGTCGGCCACCGCGGGAGGGTTTCCCCCGTCCGCTGCTGTGACGGGGATCTGGCGCAGAACTGACAGACAGATAACGGCTTCTCCCCGGCCGGCGCCGGGAGCCTCCGACCGGCCGCTGGGAACCGGGAGGGACTGGCTAGCGAGAAGCTAACTACCGTTAGCCCAGGATATCCTTTCACCCTAGCGTCCTCTTGACAGTTTTGACATCAAGGCAGAAGGTATGTAACGGAACTAAATTTGTTTTACTTCTAACGTTTTCTCGACGCACTCTTTTTTTTAAATGGTGTATTCCCAGGGAGGACAGACCTAGCATTAGCATTTAGCCTACAAACCGGTGGATATTATCCCCAGTATGCGTTTTTAAAATGACACAGGTTGCTTAGTAAAAGTGCTGACAGAATTGACCATTAACTTAATTTTTTTGTAATTATTTAAATGGTATTTTATGTGTTAGTCCTCCGTCATTCCCGAACACCCATCTTTGTCTAGCTAGCCACATGAATCACATATGCTCTCCTAGCTGAGATGGTGTTTTGGTTTCAGTCCTCCCAACAAACGTTTAAGCGACGGCGTGAAGATGGATTGAAAGATGAAGGGTGGAACTTTCCCATCATCCCACTAGGAGGGCGTCTCTCAAAGGTATGCCTCGTTCACAGCACCTCTGGTTGTACACTGACGTCTTTCTGTTACCTTTATAGGAGCTAATTTTGTTGCTCGATCTCTAGTGTGTCACAAATGTTTCGCCTGAATTCCTTTGGTGGTACAAGTGGCCAAAACCGCAGTTAACCACAGATAAATAAAAGTTTCAGACACTTAGTATAAGTTTGATCCTGCAGCCTGCCCAAAGACAGAGCTGTTGTGTAGTTTTGTGTCAACATTCATAGCAAGTCTTTGGCCAATGTTTCCCCACATCCTGTGTTTTCAGGAAGCTTCCTCTTTTGTCCTTTGCTGCATCCTGACCAGGATCGCAGAACTACCCTGTGGTGTTTTTTGTACTAGTTTTAAGATTTTTTAAAGCATTTTTCCCATTTGTTATTTTGTTTATTTTCTCTCAATGTGTCTTCTGCGAACTGTGGCACATTTCCACGCCTGTTCAGGTACTGCTTTCTTTTTCACTTGTCATGTTTTACACTAAAATCTATATTGCAATATAATTTGAAAAATGTGCGGTAACGGTATATATTGCGATATATGATTTTCTTTTTTATACATGTCTAAAACGACTGTTTCTAAACATACTCACCTACCAGATACATTGATGCAGCAGAATAAACACACTTCAAAAAGTATAAAATGCCAAATGCTGTGGAGATGCCTTCCACAAGCGCTCAGTTTTTCTGCATTGGTGTGTTAGGCTGCGAAGGCTGTCATTAAACCAGGGAGTAGGGTTCACTGCAGGAACTGATCTGGTTCTGACAGGACAGATATTGTCCAGAATGGAGAGGCAGTGCTCGTTAAACTGAGAAGTTAAGGAATCTGGGTCGTTATCAGAAGAACAGGGTGGATCAAAAGCAGCAGAAAAATTGCTAGCTGTGTTCTCATTAAGAAAATGAGAACTAACCATACGGCGAGCAGGAGGTGGGGACACAGAAACTGACAAGTTAAAGAAAATACAATGGTGATCTGAAATATAAACGTCCTCAGGACAAACACTGTCAGCATTTAGACTCGGGGGAAAAACAAGGTCTAGAGTGTGCCCCCTGGTGTGTGTGGGGCCAGAAACATGCTGGGTAAAGCTGAAGGAGTCCATAAGGCTGGAGAAATTCATGGCAAAGTGATCAGAGGGATCATCAATGTGGAGGATAGAAAGTCACTTAACTAGGTTTTTAGGTTACCAATTCTAGTTTTCTCTCTAGCACTAAATATGTAAAACGTACATCTTTTACCAGAGTATCTCTGATAGTCTGTCCCACTTTGTAAGTGACTGTCTGGACAGTATATTTTGTACAAAGTTTCAACTGAACTTGAGTTGTTTAATTGTATATTATTAGAGCTATTTATTCTTTCTTATTATTTACAATATTGTTAATGTGTTCCTGGGTTAATTTTAGGGCTGCACAATATATCGTAAATATATCGTTATTGTGATATCAGCATGCACAATACTCGTATCGCAAAGAACAGATAAATATCGCAATGAATGGTCAGCTCAAATGTTTGCTACACGTAATGCATTCTGTCAATGAAACGGAAGCATTATGTTTTTTTAACGAATCAAATAGAGCTCTTCACCCATTTGGCCAATTGGGTGGGTTCTCATAGGTAAGATCCAACCCCCCCCCCCCCCCCCCCCCCAAGGTGCATGGCACTTGATTTTGATGGTTAGCAAACACCTGAGTTAGCTTTGTTCTGCTCTTTCTGCTGATTCTACTTTTCCGGGGATCCACTGATTGCCTTTTCGTTTTCCTTTCCTCACATCTTTTGCTTTTCTCATTTTTATGATTTTTTAAATGTCTTTGTTTTTGATTATTTTTGTTCTTGACTTAAGTTTTTATTTATCGCAAGTAATATTGTCATCGCAATATTAATAATTGTTACCGAAAATCGCAAGTTTTCCTAATATCGTGCAGCCCTAGTTAATTTATATTATTGGGTCATCTTTGTTGATTACTAATGATTAAATCTTGTTTTTGTTTGCTTTTTGTAGAAAAACTGTGTGCCCATTCTCTAAAACTAAAGAGAATGGTCTCAGACCGGCATACACTGGAGGGGGTCTATGATTTTTTTAACTGAGCAAGAAAGGAAATGAATTATAAAATGCAACTTTCTAGTTTCGCGCATTGGACTTTTTTTTTCTTGCTTGTATAAAAGTGTCACCAACATGCAGCGGTGGTATCTTTTTATTTTGAATGATTGGTTTAACAAACTGGAATTGCCATAACATATGTCTCTAATAAATAATATTGCAAATAGGAGCTGACATTGAACACTTCAAAACCAAACACGTCATCACTGAGGCACGTTTGCATATTTGTAACTTCGTCATGTGACAAAGGGACTTCCTACAACTACGGGAAGGACTTTACTGTAATAAGTCTGGGCAGACATGAAAGCTCAACATCTCTTCTTTCAAAAAACATTTCAGTTTTTCTGATGTAACAAACTCTTGCAGAGTTATGGTGATGCGAAGGGAGCGTGCAGAAATGTGTCTGTTACAAGACATTTGGTGACAGAGGGTTAAGCAGTGCTTCCAGCCTGTGCGCATCATACATAAGCAAGTCTAAACTTGTATTTCGGTGCTGCTAATAACTTTTTCGTGTTGTGCTCTGCAGCCTAATTGTGTAACTAAGTTGAGAGACTTGAGAGGAAGATGCCTCCGAGGCCATCCTCAGGGGAGCTATGGGGAATCCACTTGATGCCTCCAAGGTTTGACTCCCTTGACACCATTATATGTGTTTATACTTAAATATGGTGTGGAGATGGAAATTAAATACTGAACACATTGATGCTTGGTGTGTACAGGATCTTGGTGGACTGCCTGCTGCCCAATGGGATGATTCTCACCCTAGAGTGTCTTCGAGAGGCCGCACTCAATACCATCAAACATGAGCTGTTTAAGGAGGTCAGAAAGTATCCTCTCCATCACCTCCTACAGGAGGAGACATCGTACATCTTTGTCAGTGTTACACAGGTAGGAATGTCTCCAGATGAGCAAAGATGAGTCTGTTGGCTCTTTCTGATCCAATTTAACGACCTTAGCTGTGTTTCCACCTTACAAGCTCCAGAACATTTCTGGGATGGTAAAGGTGACGGGGAAAATATGTTGGCGCAGTCCTCTCAGCCATTGTGTCTCCATACAAAATTGTCCCTTTGCTAAGACGTCAGCATATTGTGGCGATTTTGGTAGATTGTGTCACTGAAAGTGCCAAAAGCCGTAGACATTAATAACATTAAAGATAATTTACGCTGATCAAAGGACGGGGTGAGCGGCTGTTTGATTTATAAAGCAGTTCCCAGAAGAAATGTCATTTTCTTACGTACTCTGTCGGAGACCACAAAGAGGTGTAAATTATGGCACCTTGGAGGGAGTTCTGGCACATTTTGGCATTGGGAGTTTAGAGATTGAAAAGCTCTGTCAACATGGCTTATTTCATTATCCTTCTGTTCCACTTCACCAACAACTCTTTCTTTTTTAAAAAGGCCAGTTGTTTGGCGACATCATTCCATATTGTTTCCAACTGATCAGCATGAGTTAACCACAAGTCTCGCCCAGCAACTCTACTGGTCCATTTTCTGAACATACACAAGCTCAGATATTCAGTTGGTTGCTGAAATTGCTCAGACAGTGGTCTTTTTCAGGGTATCCGCGGGTCCTTAAAAAGTCTTACATTTGCTTTTCCAAATTTAAGGCCTTAAAAATCCTTAAAAATGACAAATAATCCTTAAATACAGTTTCCAAAGGTCTTAAATTACCAAAGACCCAATAAACAAGATTATTTTATTTCAATTTTCATGAATTTCTAGTTAGTGTTCAGCATTTTTTGTGTATGATATTGGCATAAGCGGAACCGTACACATTCAGTTGGTATTGAAAGGGGGCTTTTTTAGATGAGCACATTAGCTGGTTAAGCTAGTGGGAGATTGCACCATGGGGATGTGGAACTTTTATGGTAACTGGATGGCTAATCCCACATTTGCAATAGCTGTAAATTATAGTTTAAATTTAATTTTAAAAAGTAGCTTAAATTTGGTCAAATTGGCCTTAAAAAAGGTCTTAAAAAGTCTTAAATTTGGCTCCCTTAAACCTGCAGATACCCTGCTTTTTGAGCCGGCCTGGCGAAATGGAGACACACGCACACGGTAAAGGTTCGGTAAAATTACCAGAAGTTTTTATTGTGGAAACGGGCCTACGGCCATCTTTCTTTTTTGTGGTTCAGGCCATGCAATAACGGTTTCTCAGTGCAACAAGCAAAACGCATGTGCAGATCAATGCCTTACTTGGGGAGATCTTGATTTACCACAATGAAATTTCAGCCTTTTGAAACAAATCACAGTGTGCTTTGTCAAAAACTCACATGTCAAGTCGTCAAAAGTCAAGTCAAAGTCATTTATTGTCATTTCTACCACATGTGCAAGACATACAGAGAAACGAAATTGAGTCAACGAAAGCATCAATCCAGCCTGCTGACGCTGAAGATTTGAACGATCAGTCTGTCCTTCTTCTCACTCTGACTCTGCCCTCCTCACAGCTCTCATCACAAGTGCCTAAAAACAAAATTTCTACCTTTTTTCCCCCCCTGATACATCAGGAAGCAGAGCGGGAAGAGTTCTACGATGAGACCCGAAGGCTGTGTGATCTTCGACTCTTCCAGCCGTTCCTCAAAGTCATTGAACCAGTTGGCAACAGAGAGGAAAAGATCCTAAACCGAGAAATTGGTGAGCGGTTCTTCTTGTTGATGAGCCATCTAATGGTCCAATACATGCGTAATGCGTAATATATACACTGTCTTTTTTGAAGGTTTTGCCATTGGTATGCCTGTGTGTGAATTTGACCTGGTGAAGGACCCAGAGGTTCAGGACTTCAGGAGGAACATCTTGAATGTGTGTAAAGATTCAGTGGAGCTGAGAGATTCCAGTGGGCCTCACAGCAGGGCACTCTATGTTTACCCCCCCAACGTAGAGTCCACGCAGGAGCTTCCTAAACACATTTATAGCAAACTTGACAAAGGTGCGAAAGGTTTATCTCCAACTATTAAATTATTACTCTGTCTTGATGAAAATACTTATCTCAGTTACTCTTTTCTTAGGCTTTTCTAAGTCTTGTCTGTGTTTTAGGTCAGATCATCGTTGTAATATGGGTGATCGTTTCCCCTAACAACGACAAACAAAAGTATACGCTGAAGATCAACCACGACTGTGTGCCTGAACAGGTGGGATCAGTCGACATTCATTGTGACATTTGATGGAAGAAAGCACATCTTCCCAAAGTGCCATTCAGTGCACCAAGCACTAATGTCAGCTGTTTGAATTAATCATGCCCTGAAGGTGATTGCAGAGGCCATTCGCAAGAAGACACGCAGCATGCTGCTGTCCCCCGAACAGCTGAAGATGTGTGTTCAGGAATATCAGGGGAAATACATCCTGAAAGTTTGTGGTTGTGATGAATATCTGCTGGAAAAGTACCCTATTAGCCAGTATAAGGTAAGAGACGGCTCACAGGTTTAGACCCAAGCGCTTCACACATTGGGTTTTAAACTATAGAAGGGTGTTGAATAGGGTTGAACAATAGATCGTAAATATATCGTTATCGTGATATCCACATGCACAAAATGCACATCACAAAGAACAGATAAATATCGCACTGACTGGTCAGCGCAAATGTTTGCTACACAATTCTGTCTATCAAACGGAAGCATTATGATTTTTAACAAATCAAATAGAGCTCTTCAGCCATTTGGCCGATTGGGTGGGCTCTAATAGGTTAGATGCCCCGCCCCCGAGGGGGACAGCACTTAATTTTGATGGTTAGCAAACACCTGAGTTAGCTTTGCTCTGCTGCTGGATCCACTGATCCTTTTTTGTTCATTTTGTTTTTCCCTTTCCTCACATCTTTTGCTTTTTTTTTTTTTCATTTTTATGATTTTTTTATTACTCTGTTTTTGATTATTTTTGTTCCTTAAAGGGACGTTATGGAAGTTTGACAGCCAAAACATGTATAGAAATAATAAATGTCTTCTTCATACATTCTCCTGCAATGCCCTGGTCCTGTAGAATGAGCCCTGGCATTTTTACTGTGATTGCCTGTTTTTCTGTAAAATCACAGAAAAAGAGAGATGCTCGGGTCGAGCAGGCTGCTTCATGCGCGTTCACGCTCAGGCATAGCCCTCCGAACCGTTCTTAAATGGTACAGATACAAGTGACGTCACTGGCGCGGTAGCTCGCCTAGTAAGACGTCGGACTTTCATGCAGAAGACCTGGGTTCAATTCTGGATGTGAACATAGTTTATTTAGTTTCTTTTTTACATTAATGGTATATTTTTTACAGTAAGATGCCCAAATTGCTATGTGAGACTCGCCGAACGGCATTGAATTCACGGATAAAAAAAGTTGTGGGTTCAACTTTCATTTTGGAACAATTTTTCAAGCAAGGGAAGGGAATGATCTGAGCATGCAGGAGGACTGACCCATCATAAACCTTTGTCGGCTGTGCTGAAGAGAAAGGTACAGAACCAAATTATTTAATTAATTAGCTGCGTGTTCTCCTGTCCTCTGTCCTCCGGGCCACACACACACACACACACACGGAGCTGACTGTCTCAGCTGTTATTTTCGCTAAGGAGTGTGCACGTACACTTTATAACATTATAGGCTATATTTTAGGGATGATGTAATCCAAGTTAATCTGTTTCTCGATGTATATCTTCTAGTACATTCGTAGTTGCATCATGCTAAGCAGGATGCCCAACCTGATGCTTATGGCTAAAGACAGCTTGTACACCCAGTTGCCTACGGACAGCTTCGTCATGCCATCATACTCCAGACGGATCTCCACGGCAACATCATATATGAATGGAGAGGCAGCTTCCAAGTCTCTGTGGACCATCAATGGAACCCTTCGGATACGAATCCTTTGTGCCACTTATGTTAACGTGAATATACGGGACATAGACAAGGTAACGTCAGGGTTGTTCAACACATTTTGACTCTTAATAATCTGAACACTGTTATGTTTGTATGGGTCACACGAGAGTGTTTGTCTTGGAGTCGTATTGGCTGGCTGTTTTTTCAGTTGTGCACAATATCCTATCTTCCTGCTTCCTCACATCCTGTTGAAACAAACAGTCATTGTGGAAGTCCCTCGTGAAAAAGCCCAACCAACGGAAATCAGTTCTGTTACTCGTTGGCTTTCTGGAAAACCTTTTCAAAGCTGACAGAAACGACCAAACTTTCTTCTTGTTATTGTTTGAACTGTCCTAAAATCTCCTTCGTATCTGCTCTCAACCTTTTAGATCTATGTGAGAACAGGAATTTATCATGGAGGTGAACAAATGTGTGACAACGTCAACACGCAGAGAGTCCCCTGCTCTAATCCCAGGTAACTAATCCTCCGTCAGCGATAAAAACTGGACCTCTGCATTTTGATAATATTGTTAACAATAGGGATGAAAATGAAGTATCATCCAATTATAGCTTCTTCTGTTTGTGATTATTATTTCCGGAAATCTACCAAAAACCTTCAGTTGTCCGTCCGCACCATTAATTTACTTTAAGCAGTCCGAGGCAGGGGGGTAACAGTTTAACGCTGGATGGCAACACCAAACAGCTGTATTGTATTCCTGCTTAACCTGTCCCGATTGTCACTTATATCACTGCTGAAAGAGAGTCACTTTAAATTAACTCATTCGCTGCCAGCGTTTCTCGCCGTTTTTACTGTTTTCTTAAGAGTGGCAGAACGTTGCGCGCTAGGATGATGTCGACGCCAAAACAACCAAAACAAAGCGGAGACTCGCCTCTTACATCAGGAAGAATCTGCGCTTTTCGAGCTTTATCCATTCTTTCGTAATCCGTTGTTGAATTGTGATCGGCAGAAGCTTTTCCGGTTCGCGCCTCACTTTTTTTTACAGCAGAGGCCCAAAATGATCTCCTAACACATGGATTTTCTGCTTCCTGATCACGTGACGTGTGACGTACGCAGATGAAGATCGGCTTCAGAGCTGAGATGTTTGTTCTCACGGTGCGGGGGCTCGTCCGACGCCCACACAGTAAAAAAATGCAAATGACGACTTTAGCCGTCATTGGCGGTGAATGAGTTAAGTCTTGGTCAACGAGTCTCTTCAAAAGGAAAACCACTGCAGAGAGGAGCCACCTGAATGTGTCAGAAGTTTGATAAGCCTAAGAAAACTGCACATCCAAACTTTTTCTAATTTAAAGCCTTGGATTGTGGTACCTGACAGCTTGTCTAAAACAAAAATAATAGCATGTCTATCTTTCTCTCTGCAGGTGGAATGAGTGGCTCACCTATGACATGTACATTCCTGATATCCCTCGAGCTGCCAGACTCTGCCTCTCCGTCTGCTCTGTGAAGGGCCGAAAGGGAGCCAAAGAGGTACAGCAGCACAACGACATACACTTCAGTGGTAGGGTCCACTTTCTACAGGGTTGAAATTCAAAGTGTAAGCTTTGACCCAACTAAGACATTCAGGGCACATTTTATCTACATTAGTCTTTAGTGGGTGCTTGAGTGTTGACTATGAAAGTGCTGTAGTGTGTGTGTGTGTGTGTGTGTGTGTGTGTGTGTGTGTGTGTGTGTGTGTGTGTAAGCTGTGGTGTCATCTTTGGTTCTGTTTAATTACTAATCAGTTATGGGTGCTGTGCTAGCAGGAAGCATGAACTCAGACAGAACCAGCAGGAGGGAGTTCACCAGTCATGTTGGAATGTTTTCCTGTGCTAAACACGCGTGCAAGAAGTGCTTTTAGGCAAAAGCAAACAAAAACATCTTGTAACACAAACTAAAATAATGTGGATAATGAAAAATAACTAGATCTAAAAGATATTACTCATTTAGTGATTTATTTTCTTCAATATAAAAGGGGTCTTCTCCAAAAACTAAACTCTGTGTGTGTGTGTGTGTGCGTGTGTGTGTGTGTGTGTGTGTGTGCGCGGGCGCGTGTGTGTGAATGCCAGACATGGATATTGTAACACACACCTAAGGCGAGTCCTGTCTGCTGCCCTGTGATACTAGGTTGATGTCAGGCTAGCGGACGTTCTTTCACGCCCGTCTGAATTAAAGATAAACAGTTTACTGCATCAGGCTTTTGTTGCACCGCCTGCTATAAATAGGTGCATTTTTACTGGCTGTCTGGTCGTAGCTGTGTCAGTTGCTTTTTGTCACCTGGTTCTTTCGACACCCCTCTTTTGAAAAAGCGTCTTGAAAATTATAATTTTTTTTTATTGATGAAAACAATTTTTAAAGCTTATTTATTCACTTTAAATTTTATAGCAAGTTAATTTTATTCCATAAAAACAAAAGTAATTTAAAGATTGCTTTAAAAAGAAACCATGTTCTTCAGCAAATATCTTTTATTATTTTTTAAGAATCTTTTTTTTTATTTATACATTTTGATGTTTAGGTTACTTGTCTGTCAACATAAATGCTTCCCAAGGATTACACATTATATATTAAAGACCAAGTGAACTTATGTTTTCAACGCATTTGCATTGCTTGTGTATATGAATGCCTTGTGAGTCAACCTCTGTGGGGGGAAAAAAGCTCTGGCGCTCCTGTTTCAGGAACTAGAACTGAGCTAAAACAGCAGCATCTGGAGTCTTATTTTCTGATATTCAGACATCTCATCTCTGATTGGCTAACAGCAATGCGACTATCACTGTTTGCTCAGCAACGTTGATGTTTTATCTTCAAAGTAACTCAAGCCTGAAGGAGTTCTGCTGTGTTGTAGAGTTGCAAACGCTAATGGCTAGCTTTTATTAGCCGAGACGTGTTCTGTTCTCTCCTGGATGCTAAACCAACAACAGCCTCCCCCTTCGCGAGCCCAGACGTGACGAAGATCTTTCAGGCTTTTCTAGTCCGAGAGTTTCACCGTCTATTCTCTATGCAAGAAATCGGAATCGAAGACTTTTTTCATGTTAAACTCAGAGTGACTGATATTTTCCAAAATAAGAAGAACAAAACAGTTTCTCAGTGAAATTGGTCTTTAAAGGGGCATTATGGAAGTTTGACGGCCAAAACATGTATAGAAATAATAAATATCTTCTTCAGACATTCTCCTGCAATGCCCTGGTCCTGTAGAATGAGCCCTGGCATTTTTACTGCGATTGCCTGTTTTTCTGTAAAATCACAGAAAAAGAGAGATGCTCGGGTCGAGCAGGCTGCTTGATGCACGTTCACGCTCAGGCATCGCCCGTAGCATTTGCTATCTGTGGCCTTAGCGGCAGAGAGAGAGGCAGTGCCACTTTTTCGCTGTTCCTAACGCCTAGTGACAAACCTAGCTACATTTCTGAGGACCCTTAGCTACTTTCTTCTAGATATTTCCTACATTTCTGAGGATCACCGTCAGGGTTCAGTCTGTGATATATTCTTTGTTTCTCTTCAGCAGGGCTCTCCAACCTTTTTGGGCCCGTGAGCTACTTTTACAAACTGAAAGTACAGAAGAGCTACGGCTATCTGATTTATTCACATTAATACATTCCATGTGTGAATATGCTTACTATTGTAACATGCATTGTATTCACAAGTTGATTTCTCTGTATTTTAAAACATCAATATTATAAAAAAAAAAGAAAATTGTGACAATCTGAAAATCAAACTAAAGAAACATTTTGTTTATTAATCAATCCGATACTTTCAGATAATGGAATACAAATCTACTTTGTGTGAATGATTTGACATTTTTTATGATTGGATCAGTAACATAGCTTTTTGAGCACATTTAAATGAACAAATACTTCCCAAAACTATAGAATGCTTTTTAAAGAAGATCTGGTGTTCTTTAGGTGGCCTTTAATGCAAAACCTTTCAAGTAAGCTAAAGGTATTTTAAATCAAATACAAGCTAAATGCTAAATAGTTTGAATTATAAAACAGAAATAACATTTCTTCCAGCTTTCCTGATTTCTAGAAATTTTTATGGGGTTCTTTTGGCTCATGAATGTTAAGTTTTGCTTCTTTAGTAAATAACTGCAGGTAAAATGATGTTTTGCTGCGTTTATTGTAGACAATGTTAAAATGAGGCTGGAGGTTTATTCTTTTTCTCTGGATCAGCTGATCTGTGGGTCTGACAGTTGTGTGTGTGTGTGTGTGTGTGTGTGTGTGTGTGTGTGTGTGTGTGTGTGTGTGTGTGTGTGTGTGTGTGTGTGTGAGAGAGAGAGAAATCGTGTTTTCTGGTTTTCAGTTTGCGTTAACGAGCTGCTACCGCAGACAGGGCTTTACTGTCGCGCAGATTATTTTACTGAGGATGTTTTTCTGAAACCAGGTCTGTATGACCGACGTCACCCCGTCTCCTTTAGGAGAGTGTCTTTATCCGCCTGCAGCCGCTGAGGTACAGACAGGGATCTGTGCTGCAACCTGAGCAATTAATCTGCGAACTTCCAGTAAAACACGTTTGCTGAAAGATTTGCGCAATAATCAGATTTTTATTTTACTTCTACAAAAGGCCAATTGTATGATTAGATATTACAGACAACGGGGACGGCCTGCCATCAAATTGAAAAGTCTTCCCTCATTGATTAAAGTCAGGCAGGATGGCTCGCTGGCTGCCTCCTGGCGAGCGGCGTGTTGGAGACCCCTGCTCTTCAACTAAATAGTTCTGGAAAATACTTGATTAAAATCTTTTGTTTAACTGAAATGATCTCCTCACATCTTAAAACAAACAAGGAAAACATGCAGCAGGTATTTCTACTTTTTGCCTGAAGTACCAGAGAGCCATCATAATTTAGCTTTTGTTTCTGTTTCCCAGGAGCACTGTCCACTAGCCTGGGGCAACATCAACCTTTTCGACTACACTCACACTCTGGTAGCAAGCAAGATGGCTCTGAACCTCTGGCCTGTTCCTCATGGCCTTGAAGACCTTCTCAACCCCATCGGAGTCACGGGTTCAAACCCCAATAAGGTACTTGGCATTACCCCCCCCCCCCCCCCCCCCCCCAAAAAAAAAAATCAGTAGGCAGATGATTTTCATGTGAGTTCTTCGTGTTTGTGTAGGAAACGCCGTGTCTGGAACTGGAATTCGACCACTTCAGCAGTCCTGTCAAATACCCAGACATGAATGCTGTGGAGGATCATGCAAACTGGACCATCTCAAGGGAGCTGGGTTTTAACTACAACCTGTCCGGACAGGTAACCCGTCTGTCATGAGAACTCCTAATTCTGCTGTGTTGTGCAGAAACTCTACTTTCATACAGTTTTACTCTAGACAGAGTTTTTTATTGTCAGAGGTTTTAGCATTGATTAGTTCGGACCAAAGCTGCCATAAACTGATGTGACCAGATGCACGGAAGCTTCCTTATCTTCTGAAGACTCATTAAACTCCAACCACACACACACACGCACACACTGGTTTTTCTTCAGTCTCCCGTGTGTTTTAGCTGCTGACCAGAGAAGAGGCCGTTCTGGTTGGTTTGTGAAGAGCGTTGCTTTAATATAACGCTTCATAACCACTTTCCCACCTTGTAAACCTCCTAAACAATGAAATACTTGTATTTATAAAGTGACGCGTAGCGGATGTTCTGGACAAATATCTGACGATAGAACTTGTTAACTGGGTTTCTGCCAGCTCGTTTCATGACTCGGTAATGCCAGTTTAAGTTACTCCTCTCAGTTATTCATGATGGTGTAGATGATGCTCTGTCTGATCAGATTTCTACATGATGTGTTCATGAGAACCGTGACTCTTGCCGTGTTAATGTGACATGCTGACAATAGCTTACTGTGTGAGAGGATGTGCTGGTAAATGTGAGGAGCGACTGTGATTTAACGTATGATTAGATTATTTGTACTCGCCTCGAGCCTAATTAAATGTTAGATTAGATAAATAAATCAAATTCTGTTACTACTGCTTGTTTTGGCCACAGAGAGAGCGTAGGAGACTATTAGCAGCTGGATAGTGACTGTTCTGGTGTTAGCTCTGGTCAAGTAACAGTGACGTGTCTCAGAGTGTCTGTTGGCTTTCAGAGCAACCGCGTGGCCAGAGATCACGCCCTGACGGAGAGTGACACTGAACAGCTGAGACAGCTGAGCAACAGGGACCCTCTGTCAGAAATCACTGAGCAGGAGAAAGATTTCCTCTGGAGACACCGGTAATTAAATGGACATCACAGTAATTAATCACACCGCTCATACGCCGAAGAGCTAAAGATTATCGCCCGTATGAAATGACATCAGCGTATTCCTGTTTTTCGTTTCCTGACAGGCATTACTGCATGAACTTTCCAGAGATTCTTCCCAAGATCCTCCTGGCTGTCAAATGGAACTCCCGAGATGAGGTGGCACAGGTAACACACACTCATCGTGTTGAAGGTCGGCATACAGAGCATCTAGAAAAATGTGCTTTTTCAAGAAAAAATAAACGAAACCAAGAATATTCCATTATAGGATTGCCCTATAAATTTTACCTGACCTTCGCAGTATGTGTGCCTCATTTCCCCGGGCTAGCCTGAAAGCACTGCTGTCTACAGCAGAAGTTCTCATTACCGTTACTTAGACATGTTGGTTCTACTGATCGCAGCAGCATTACGCTCTCCTGTAGATTACTAGTGAGTTGTCATTTGTGTGTCTGCCAGATGTATTGTCTATTGAAGGAATGGCCATCTATCCGTCCTGAGCAGGCCATGGAACTGTTGGACTGTAACTATCCAGACCCCATGGTCCGGCACTTTGCTGTGCGCTGCCTTGAGAAGTACTTGACTGATGACAAACTGTCCCAGTACCTCATCCAGCTGGTGCAGGTGGGTTTCACTCAGATGGAAAAGTCTTACATTAAAGAGCAGGTCCACTGATAAACCATTTTTTACTTATTACTTTTAAAATGATCAGTCACTTTGACTTTTTCAAGCAGACTGAAATATATTTTCTACCTCTTATCTCCTGCATTAGCTTCAGGTAGAAAATAGATGCTCAGTCCAGAAAAATCGGACAGATCTACGTCAAACTGTCACTTAACATCTATGGACTCACCCATTCAATTTAATTCAAGTTTATTTTAATAGCACCAAATCACGACAAGAGTCGTCTCAAGGCACTTCACACAGTAAACATTCCAATACAGGTCAGTTCATTAAGCCAATCAGAAAAAAGTTTCCTATATAAGGAACCCAGCCGGTTGCATTTACAGCAATCCTCATACGAAGCAAGCATGCAGCGACAGTGGAGAGGAAAACTCCCTTTTAACGGGAAGAAACCTCCAGAGGATCCTGGCTCAGTATAGAGCTCCGGACGTCACGTGACTCTCGGAGAGTAGACGCCATGTTGGCAGGCAACAAAGGTAAACAAAATGAACGGGATCGGCTTGGATTTTACTCAGTTGGAGTTTACTTCACTCTTTAAAACCGAAGAAATCGTTTTATATTGTTAGAAATTAAATAGACTAAACATGTCCGACCCTTACCGTGCCCCTGGGATACTTTTTAAAAACGCCAGAAGCTGTCGAAGCGGACTTCTTACCGGACCTGGCCGGGGAACGCCTTGGGATTTCCCCAGAGGAGCTGGCCCAAGTGGCTGGGGAGAGGGAAGTCTGGGCCTCTCGACTTGGGCTACTGCCCCCGCAACCCGACTCCGGACAAGCGGATGAAAATGGATGGATGAATGGACAAATAACAGATTTACATATAAGATGTTTAAATAGAGTGCTGTGCTGTTTGAATGTATAAACTGAACGCCAAGAGAAATCACTAGTTTGATTGTTTTCCATGAATAAAATAAATATGTCAGGCACGAGCGTCTCAGGATCTGTCTGAGATCTGTCTCGGTGAGACAGATAATAGCAATCCAAAGTGCTTTTTATGTGTGATCTGACAATTGATCAACCATTGCTTAAAAATTAAATACAACTTAGCCGGTTAATTGTTGTGATCATAAATCATGTAAACGGCAGCACGCAGAAATCACGAGGCAGTGTTTTACGTGATGTTTACTTGTTACTATGAGTAATGAGACAGAAAAAGCCACGCCAAAATAAGTTTAGGAAGCCCACTAAGAATCGTAATGAAAGCATTTAAAATAAATACCATACACAGTTGAGGAAACGTTGGTTTAAGTACCTGATATGAAGCGGTCGCTGCATAAGCGAAAACTACTCTCGGGGTCCCACAGCTTCATTTTAGCCCGTCACTAGTGCGTTTTATTACAATGATCCAACGTTTGCGGCATTCCGGATCTTGGGGAATCCTGTAGATGGCTCATTCCTTATGTCGTCCGCGTCTGTTCTGCATCCTGGGGCACAACAGGAATCTACCATATTTCCCGTTTGACTGAGTTTTCTGACAATATGGCGCCGTTTCGATTTGAACTGTTGCATGCCGGGAGAAGTGACGTCAACTGCCGGAGCTCTATAAGCAGCCATCCACCACAACTCACTGGGGATCGAGAAGACAGAGCAGACACACACACACACACACCAAGTAGTGTTTCTATGGTTACATTGTGATTTCTTAGTAAATATTCTATTTGGTGAGAGATGAACTTTATTGTATTTATCCTAGTGAATCTATAATTAAACGTGTAAACTAGTAGTAGCACATTCAATGTCCCGTTCCGATATTGGATTACTTTCAATATCGGAACAGAACATCCCTATAAAAGAGTTCATGTGCCTTTTTGGTGTAGAGGAAACGACTCTAGGAGAAAATACCTCAAAAGGACTGGTTTCAGCTAACTGTGCTTCTTCTGTAGGTGTTAAAATATGAGCAGTACCTGGACAATCCACTGGCTCGCTTCCTCCTCAAGAAGGCCTTAACAAACCAAAGGATAGGACATTTCTTCTTCTGGCATCTCAAGTGAGTCTCCCATTTAGACTGTTTTCATCCCAGACAGCTGAAAATTGTATTGACCCCCCCTGCATGACCCATGCGACCTCTCCACAGGTCAGAAATGCACAATAAAACTGTGAGTCAGAGGTTTGGGCTTCTTTTGGAGTCCTACTGCAGGGCCTGTGGCATGTACCTCAAACACCTGAGCAGACAGGTAGAGGCCATGGAGAAGCTCATCAACCTTACCGACATCCTCAAACAGGAAAAGAAGGATGAGACTCAGAAGGTCAGATGGTGGCAACCAACAGGCTGTTTCCCATGATTAAGGCCTAGTCCACACGTAGCCGGGGTTTTTTGAAAACGAATATCCGCCCCTCCAAAAACTTGCATCCACACCACCACGTTTTAAAAACAAACTGTCCACACGTACCCGGATAAATACGTTGTTAAGGACATGCCAGACCTGTAGGCGGCAGTACTTCCCCCGTTCTTAACCTCGTCCTTCGTCTGTGGTCTTCCGCAAGGAGCAGTAATTCCGCTTGTAAAAACAAACAAGCAGAAAGCGCTTGGACAACTGATGGATCGGGTAGTGACAGAGTGCAGCTCTGAGGGCATCCATGATGCCGGCTAGTGTAAACACAGGTCGCACACGTGATGTCAGCGTTTTTTGTCGCGGAAAGTGACGCTGCGGACCTTAAAACTCCGGTTTTGTCCGTCCACACGCAGACACCCAAAACGGAGAAAACGCAGATCTTCACTTTGGCCGGAGTTTTTAAAAAGCTCCGTTTTCGTGTGAAAAAACTCCGTTTTCGTGTGGATGACAGGCCAAAACGTAGAAAAATATCTACGTTTTGGCAGATCCCCGGCTACGTGTGGACAGGGCCTTAGAGTTTGTCTGGACAGCTGGCCAGTTTAAACCTTAAAGGAAGCGTTATTGTTGTGGTTTAAGGTCCAGATGAGGTTTCTGGTGGAGCAGATGAAGAGACCCGACTACATGGATGCTCTGCAGAACTTCACCTCTCCTCTCAACCCTGCACATCAGCTGGGAAATCTGAGGTCAGAAACCCTGCAGTGTGAAGTAGGGCAGAGAACTAGGAACCAAAAATGGTGTCTCCACATCTTTTAGCTGGTTTCTAATTTATGATGTGCAGCTTGATGTTTTTCTTCATGTTAAGAATTTACACCAAAAAAAAAACAGAGTCAAAGCTCCATGTGTCACGGGCACTTTTATTTCTAATTTGTTTAATTTTGTCTAATTTTTTTTTCTTGACTGGCTCACCTTCAGTCTTTTTGCAAATATACGTCAATATTTATAAAATGTTTCTGTCGTAGCGTGAGGCTGTTTTGTAGGATTTTATGGCATTAATAAACTTTTAGGTGAAAGATTGATAAAATATTTGAAACCTGATTTTTATTCGTGCTCAGGTTGGATGAATGCAGGATCATGTCATCTGCAAAGAGGCCGTTGTGGCTGAACTGGGAGAATCCTGACATCATGTCTGAGTTACTCTTTCAAAACAACGAGATCATCTTCAAAAATGGAGATGGTAATAAATCAACACCTGGACCTGGTTTTTTGTTATTTTAGGGAATTTCAGACCCCAAGTCCGATTTGGGAGGTTAAATCACAGTTTTTTTTTATCATATCCCTGTATAATTAACTAATAATTTTGTGTTTTTTAAGATTTGCGTCAGGACATGCTGACATTGCAGATCATTAAGATCATGGAGAACATCTGGCAGAATCAGGGACTGGACCTACGGTACAAGCGTCCCTTCTGATGAGGTGTGTATAGATCTGAATCCTTCTGTGTTCACGTGCTTTGTGTCTGCAGGATGTTGCCCTATGGCTGTCTGTCTCTAGGAGACTGTGTCGGTCTCATAGAGGTGGTTCGAAACTCCCACACGATCATGCAGATTCAGTGTAAAGGAGGCCTGAAAGGAGCGCTTCAGTTCAACTCCAACACGCTGCATCAGTGGCTGAAGGACAAAAACAAGGGAGAAATGTAAGGTGTCTCCTGAAAAAGAGAAATGATCCAAATAGTCGTAGCATCCCAATTCAAACAGTGTTACTGCTTCCTGGTGAGTAAACACACCTGTGCACTTCCTCTTGTGGTTGCAGGTATGACATGGCTGTGGATCTGTTCACGAGGTCCTGTGCTGGCTACTGTGTAGCTACATTTATCCTGGGGATAGGAGACAGGCACAACAGCAACATTATGGTCAAAGATGATGGGCAGGTAGCTTCTTACAACATGGCTGGTGACCGTTTTCTGAGAGGTGATGTCATCTCTGCAGGACTCGTCGAGCTAATGCTCTCTTCTCCCACTCTGCTCTGCTCTGCTCTCCTTTAGCTGTTTCATATCGACTTTGGCCATTTCCTGGATCATAAAAAGAAGAAATTTGGCTACAAGAGAGAGAGAGTGCCTTTTGTTCTGACACAAGACTTCCTCATTGTCATCAGCAAGGGATCCCCGGAGTGCACAAAGACCAAAGAGTTTGAGAGGTGCTGCAGCTCGTTTATCATTCCTTCTGCGGCGTTTACGCCATGACGGAGAATTATTATTACGTGCATTATTGAAGCTGCGTCTGAGGCCTGGAAAACTAAAATGGACAAATCATTTAGCTATCCACGATCGATGATGGTCTTTAGTGTTTTTGAGTTTGGTTGCCTCAAGAAGTCAGTTTGAGGAAAAGTAAAAATGCTAAAAGTATGTTGTAATACCACTAAACTGTCCTGGTTGATTTCTAAATTCTAGTATAACTGGCTTTAAAGGTCTTGTTCCCATAGAACCCATGTAATTGATGCTTTGTTAAAAATTACTCGCTTTAAGCTGCACATTTACGCCGAACATGAACATTTCCTTCAGCCTGAGTTTCCTGCATTAGCCGCCGGAAGGAAATGGGCAGGACAAAGATTGGGCCACAGTAGACATTAGTATTCATGGCCCCGCCCACCGTGGCTTGTGGTTGCAGAAATGTGAGAACATGGCGCGTCTCGGCTAGTAGAAGCTAACCGCTATCAACTGTTTACTGCAACTTCAAGCATTGTGCCCATCATCACGAACCTCCCACTGTTTTAGGAGAAAATCTGAGTTTACAGGCAAATGTCACCTCTGTTAAACATGAACCCTCTGGAGGCAGGCGTTGCAGATATGCAACGTTAAAACCTACCTACCTGGTTACTCCACATATGTGTTTCATCAGCATTTTTTAACTCAGAAGTACCCCTGAAGGACTTAGTTGTTCGTCCTTTTATCAAAACTTATTTTGAGCCTGAGAGGGTTCCCGTAATTTCCAGACTATAGAGCGCACCAACAAAATAAAAGGTTTTCTACACACACACGCCGCACTCGAATACAAGCCACGGCGCAGCAGCCACATGCAGGTCTCCGGTGCACAGCGCATGTACGGCCACAACATAAGATAATTAGACAGGAAGACGCTACACGGAGGTTTTTCGTTGTTGTTTTAATTCAACAAAACCAATTTTAAACACGGCTGAACGTGCCTGCAAGTTTAGAAAAGAAAACAGCACTGATAGCATTCATATTTCTGGATGGTTATAAAATAAAAACAGAACTGACACGTTATTACCGGTCATTTGCATGTTTAGAAGAACAGAACAGCGCTGACACAGCATTAATAAGCCCCGGATGATTAGAAAATAAAAACTGCACACAAAACATGCCTGGTTAGTAAATAAAACACACTTGCCTACCAGAAGAAGTCATTCGCTCTCATCTTCCTCTTGCGCACTAAAGCCATTAAAGTCCTCTTCTTCAGTGTCGGAGTTGAACAGCCTCAGAAGAGCTTCGTCACAAACCTTTTCTGTGTCGCTGTCCGTGTTGCTGTCATCATCCCCGGGTGAAGCTGGCTTGAATGAGTTCTTCCCGCTGCCGTCTCCAGCGCCGAGCCATGGATTCATTCATGCCAAGCTTACGTGCAGCAGCACCGTTTCCCTCCTTTACTGCCAGATCGATGCCTTCAACTTAAATGCGACATCATATGAACTCATACGTGTAGTTACCATGATGAGGGGGTATGGATTTGAAAATAATTCTTCGTGGTGCCGGCTGCTTGCATGTGCTGAATTAAAATGAGCACTTTCTTCGATTTCCACTTTTGACTTCCACCTGTTTCACTTTCTGCTAAAGCGCCCTCTAGTGGCAGGTGAAGGAAAATCTTCAGTGAAGCCGCACCTCATTATAAGCTGCATGGTTCAAAGCGTGGGAAAAAAGTAGCGGCTTATAGTCCGGAAAATACGGTAATCTGTTCTGTTAATAAAGGCAGTGGAAGAGTCATGCTGCTGTTAGCCAATCAGAAGCGACACGGTTGTATGTCATGAATATTATTGAGTAAGACTCATAATTCTGTTGCCCCCCCCCACACACACACACACACACACACGTACACACACCTCCAACAAACTTCTACTTCCTGAAACAGGAACACCAGAGCCTTTTCCCCCACAAAACGACACAAGGTTTTCATTCGTACTACAGAACTGCATATCTCTTCCTGTTTTTCTGCCTCTTATAATCGCATCACACCGTCTTGCTGTCGTTGGACACGGATCGAACAGATCAGCTTATTTTGACAGCCTACTTTCTCCTCATCGCTCCAGGTTCCAGGAAATGTGCTACAAAGCTTACCTGGCCATCCGACAACACGCCAACCTCTTCATCAACCTGTTCTCCATGATGCTCGGCTCCGGCATGCCCGAACTCCAATCGTTTGATGACATCGCTTACATCCGAAAGACGCTGGCTCTGGAGAAAAGCGAGCAGGTGAGTGGGGTTTTATTTTTTGCGTCTGTCGGTGTAATTTAATAGTTAGAAGAAATGTCTATTCCACCTGTGTTTTGCGTTTGGGCTTCAGGAGGCGTTGGATTATTTTATGAAGCAGATGAACGATGCCCACCATGGAGGATGGACCACTAAGATGGACTGGATTTTCCACACGATTAGGCAGCATGCCCTAAACTAATTCCTCAAACACAAGCAAGATCCACCAGTATTTATTATTGCCTGTCTGAGGAAACCCTCACAGCAGCGACACAAGCGCACCAACTATGGAAGGTTGTGCGCTTGATTGACTGTTTTGGAAGCACTTTTTATTTAAACATGTTCCTGTTAATCTGCATTTTCATTGGATTTTTCTTATTATTATTATTTTGGTCTGTCTTCCGGTGTGAGTTTGGAAATACCCTTGCACTGTCCACGGCTTGTGTCGGGGTCCGGATTAAAACGTTTTCCTCGCGACTCTGAAGAAAGCTCAAACCTGGAGGATGCTTTCGTTTCTGCCCACCAAGTTCTGCTCTCACCAACTTAAATCTTTGCTGCTCTTAAACGAAACACCTTCTGGCTCAAAGGAGCCATGTTTGCCAAGGTGTTAATGTAGCCACAGAGCGAGTTCAGCTCGCTTCCCTTCGGTCGTTATTAGCGCAGCACTTTAGCTCAGAGCCACCATGGCTGAGGAGATGAGGACACATGGGACTGTTCAGATCGTTTCATGTAAATCCTGACTCGAGTGTCTTCCACCAGCGTCGTGAAGCCGCCCTTCACAGATGATTTAGCCCCCGCCACCAAAACTTTACCTGAAAGGAAAAAATATATATATATATTTGGATGTTTTAGAGTTTTATGTGTTCAGTCGAAGCTTCACAAATCTTTGAACTTCTCGTGCAGCAGCTCAGCTTTGTTGTTGACGCCCCTTTTTGGAATCATTTATTTGATAAAGAGCTAAACATCTCGTAGTTTACGTCATTTATTTAGTTTTCCTCTCTTGCATCACCGCGCTGCTCAAAGTTAAACAGACGTGAAGCGGCCGTGCTTGGTGAGCCAGAAAGCATAAATGAATTAGCATCATTTTTAATCCTAAATCCACCAGAGTGGGCTAGATTTAGATTATTATTCACCTAAACTCCTTTCATCCAAGTAAAATTACAGGACGTAAAAACACGAAGGCAGCAAAATATCAACCTAAAGCCTGCATTAAAGGAGCCACTAAGGGAAATTTCATGCACCATTAGTATTTTTATACATATTTATCAGATACTAACTGATAACTGAACAGCTAACTTGATATAGTTTGAGAAATCCCAGTCGGTGTTGGTTTAGGGATTAAATGTTTGCTCCGCTGAGATGAGGCAGTATTTTACATGAATGTTGCCCGGGAGCAGCTTCCTGAGCGCCCGCAGTCGGGCAATAGAAATAAATATCGATTCTCATGTTTGTGACCCCAAAACGGGAAACTGATCGTCCCAGAGGATCCTGAGGGGCCTGAGCGTGTGGCGTACAATCAGTGCAGCTTTTTAATGGCTTGAATGTATTTAATTGCTTACGTGGACCTTCTTGTTTTTGTTGTGAAAGTCCGATGCAGTGCCTCTGATCAAACTGCACGTGTCAAAAACGCAGAATCCAGTCAAAGCTCAAACTGGAGCTGCACCACGCAGTCAGTCAAAGACTCTAAAAGTAAATAAAACAAACGTATGCATTAAAAAAAAGGACCTAGTTCTAAATGCCTTTTTGTCCAGAAGGAGGTTAGACTAATATGCATGTTTCTGGAGCAGCATAACCAGTGTGTATGACGTAAAAGCGTCGGTCTGTTTTCTAACGTAGGTTTAACGTGCGACCACTCTGTTGTGCTCTGTACTCTCGTATATCCTCCTGATGGTTGTGTGTTTGCTCCCATGCCTTCACCCTGGTTCTGTGCAGGCTGCAGAGCTTCATTGGCGGGTTCCAGTGGAAAACAACTGTTCGTGAGTCTGTTGATGATGATGAAGACGATGATGTCTAAATGTTTTGTAAAATGCCTCCAAAAACGATGCTTCGTTTGTAAGAAAACCTTTTTTCTTATGAGTTTTACTTGAAAATGGATCCGATGGAAGCTCAGCCGGATCCTGTGGGGTTGGAGAAGCGGTTTGTTTAGTACTTACCTGTGAGTGAGTGAGTGAGTGTGTGTTTGTGTCGGCGTCGTTTATTTGACTCCGCCAGTGAATGTCATTGATGATGCAGTAAGCGCAAGATGCATTTGAATTTTGGGACTTATATTTGTGCTCGAGCCAACATTTGTAGGATTGAAAAATCTCTGAAAGACATGAATAAGCTTATAGTTGCACCCCTTTTCGCCCCTTCCCCCTGAAAGCTTGTTTAAGAGTTCTGTTTGAAGCTGATCCTGGTTCAGCATCTCCAGCTGTCTGCAGGATCGCATCAGGAAGTTGGAGTTGGTTTCTCCCCTGCTAGCTTAATGTTTGAATCTGACTCCTGATCAACATGAACACTCTGAAAATATAACTCAGAGGAGTGCAATATCAGTGCAGTAAACAGCCCCTTTGTGAAGGTTATTGTGTGTTTGTTGGACTAAACTAACGTGTCTGAATCCATTCATGTTTTACCTCCATCTGCATGAGTTTGGGCCCAGATACAAATACAGTCCTGTCTCCAAACCGGAGGTTCTTCTCTTCCTTTCAGTAATTTCTGTTTAAATGTTTTTTTTTTCTGAGCCATAAAGGAACTGTAAATAGGCTAAATAAGCGATTTGGAAAAAAAGAAAATTGGAGTAAATAGATTTTTTTGTTATTTTTTTCTTATGATGGGAAAATAAATCTATGGATTCATGTTTTTATATTCAAGCATTTTGGATTCTTTTGTTTCATCTTGCATCACATATCTTCGAATTTAAACTTTGCACGTATGTCGAGCCAAAAGAGGGTTTCTTGCATGAGATCATATGGAGGGGAATATGTTTAGCATTAGATGAGCGTGTGAATTTGATCCGAGCTTTTGTACTGTTAAAACCCTGAATGTGTAAAACTCACATGCAACATAAATTTAGTTACAAAAAGAAAACGAGGTAAAAGAGCTGAAGAACAAATGTGCACTGGTAAGTAAAAACGTCTGTGGGAATTAACTAATCAACATGTAACTTAAATCCTGGAGTTGTTGTGATCAGATTCTTTATAAGAGGGGACACCTTCTCATTGGCCGAGTGGTAGATCGGGGTTCAGGTCTGGTCAGATCATACCAAAGACCAGAAAAATGAGACCCAGTGCCTTCCTGCTTGGCACTCAGCTTTAAGGGATTGGATTGGGGGGGTTGGTTAAACCACAGACATCATATATGTAGAACTGCTGATGCTGTAGTGGCTGGCCGCCATCTTGGATGGGTCTCTATTTGCCTCTAGTGCTTTTATTTCTACTGAGGAAGATGCTCACCCAACCAAAGAACACATTTTATGATGCTTTTTCACAAAATCAGACATATGGTGTGGATTGTTAAAATAGAAATATAATAAAATAAATTTAAATAATTAAAATATGAAATCCCAAAAGACAGGCCAGAAAAGTTCCACATGATCTGTTTTCAACACGTTTGTAGCTACGTGTACAAAAGTTTTGCAGTGTTGCTCAACTTTTGTTGACTCCAGCTGGGTTTGGAGAGTGACTAACCCATCCAACATGGCAGTAGCACAGTTACGCTCTCCGGTGCCCAATGGGGCGTCTACGTATTCACGTCTTTGGGGTAAACCACCAAATAGTTCCCGAGCAGCGCCACAGCTGCAGCTCTCCGCTCCCCACAGGGATGGGTCAAACGCAGAGATGTCATTTCACCAGTGTGATGATGACTAATGGGACTTTAGTAAATGTCCTACAATTGGTATTACTGTTCCAAATGACCTTTTTGTTTTTCCACATCAGCTCTTACGCTGGTCCTCGAGATTCCGTATGCATCATATTTTAGTTGTTTCCCTGCTCCAGCATGTGTACTGGACTGTACACTGCACCCTAGGGTGGTTTTCTCCATTTTGCTGCATTTTATCTGCAGTCCTGCCACATTGAGATCCATGCAGAGAGGCCAGCCACGCCATTGTTGTGGAGAAGCCATTGGATGTCGGGACTAACAAAGCTTACTTTGATTGGCTGACAGTCGTTTGTTGCGGCTCACAGAGTTGAGGGTTGTAAACCCTGCCTGACTGACCGGTTATCGGAGTGTACAAATTAGTAAAATATTCAGCTTTTCCTTGCTGTTTCATTGCCCCCCCCCCCCCCCCCCCCCCCCCACACACACACACACACACACAGGGTTGTTGAGTTCTCTGAAAAGGTGGCTTTTATTTGGCTCTTGGATATTTTTTCCTCTTCTTGATCACATTTTACACGTTTCTTGCTTGATTTTACTTAAAAAAAATCTCTGAATTAGTTCATAAACTTTGCATCTTGTTTCATTGGAAGAAAGTAAAGCTTCTTTTTAAATCAAGGTATTTACACTACACAATTTTATTTCTGATACGTTTAACAAAGTACCTAGAAAATGTAATCCAGTATTTATCCCTCAAAACTATGTCTTTTGAAAATGAACAAGCAGTTACGAATTATGTCATCCTGTCGGTCCTTTGCCACAGTGCTTCCTGCAGCCAAAAACATTATTTTCTCTAATGTTTAATTTTATTTTTCTTCAGTTTAGTTACTTTTTAAAACAATTTATTGCTTTGGAAAACATCTCAGAAGAAAATATCTTCTAGATTAACGTGCAAGACATCTAAATGTGTGTGAGAAGACATTGCTGAACATTATTAATGGGACTAACTACTGGGCAGCAGGTCCGTATCACTCAAGACTCCTTCTACTGAAGGATCTGTTGCTGTAGTCGGAGGTGCAGGCAAATCCAGACTGGCCAACTTGAAAGGTTTCCAGGGCTTGGTCGGGCAGTGGAAGAGGTTGTTGTTCACACTGGGTGAAGCAGACGATTTGGAGGCTGTTGTGTCCTCCTCGGATGACTCCTCTCTGGCTGGAGGAGCCTTGGAGGTGGGCTGTGCTGCTGGAGATGACTGTGTAGGTGGAGCAGTGGTGCGAGGTTGATATCCACTGCTCCGAAGTGGAGACCAGCCAGGAGGACGGCGCTTGATGATGCTTGGAACCTAAAGAGAAGACATGACTATGTAGTTTATTGGGTATTCAGATATAAACAAGCAGACCTGAGCTGAACTCATAATTGATGCCATTTGTTTGGGCAAAACATTTAGCAGAAGGTTTTTTTCATATGTAGCTTCATTTTCCTACATTTAGCACACATTCTTAACATTTAACATGGCAAGTGGCAAAAAAAATTGGCAAATGTAGCCAACCTAAATGTTAAATCTAAATTTAAGTTAAATTTTAATGTTAATGTTCTAAACTGTTTTATGGTTAAAAGCCAGATAACATAGTTAAATCAGATAAATCTAAAACTTGCATCTAAATTTAAAATTCAAATCTAAATCCGGGAGCTACATCATTGTAGTAAAATAGACCACACCCATTCAAATTACCCAAGGCATTTATGGCCCCGCCCACAACACCAGTTGACCAACTTCACTTCATTTCACTGGACTTTTCAGAGATGTAGGTGACAGATTTTAGATTTAGATTAAACTTTTAGATTTAGATTACAGTTTTAGATTTAGAATAAAATTTCAGGTTGAGGGCATCCGTTTTGGTGGCCTGAGGATCATGTCTCTGCTTTTTGCAGATGATGTGGTCCTGTTGGCTTCATCAGAACGTGATCTTCAGCTTTCGCTGGAGCGGTTCGCAGCTGAGTGTGAAGCAGCTGGGATGAGAATCAGCTCCTCTAAATCTGAGACCATGGTCTTGATTCGGAAAAGGGCGGAATGCTTTCTCCGGGTCAGGGATGAGGTCCGGCCCCAAGTGGAGGAGTTTAAGTATCTCGGGGTCTTGTTCACGAGTGAGGGAAGGATGTGGCGTGGGATCGATAGACAGATTGGTGCTGCGTCTGCAGTGATGCGGGCGTTGTACCGGTCTGTCGTGGTGAAGAGAGAGCTGAGTCAGAAGGCGAAGCTCTCGATTTACTGGTCGATCTACGTTTCTACCCTCACCTATGGTCATGAGCTTTGGGTAGTGACCGAAAGAACAAGATCGCGGATACAAGCGGCCGAAATGAGTTTTCTCCAAAGAGTGGCTGGGCTCTCCCTTAGAGATAGGGTGAGAAATTCTGTCATTCGGGAGGGGCTCGGAGTAGACCCGCTGCTCCTCCACACTGAGAGGAACCAGTTGAGGAAGCTCGGACATCTGGTCAAGATGCCTCCTGGACGCCTCCCTGGTGAGGTTTTCCAGGCATGTCCAACCGGGAGGAGGCCTAAAGGTAGACCCAGGACACGCTGGAGAGACTATGTCTCTCACCTGGCCAGGGAATGCTTTGGGATTCTTCCGGAAAAGCTGGCCCAAGTGGCTGGTGAGAGGGAAGTCTGGGTGTCTCGACTTAGGCTGCTGCCTCCGTGACCCGACCCAAGATGAGCAGAAGAGAATGTATGGATGTATTTAGATTAAATTTTTAGATTCACAATAAAATCTCAGATTGAAGTTTCACCTTTAGAATCAAGAATCACAAAGCGTTTATTGTCATCGAACCAGTGCAAATGATTTAGCAAAAACACTGTTTGCTAAATAATTTGCATAGAAACTTGGTGTTTGTTCTCACCGTTGCCAGAAGACCTGACTGACACTCTGAGTAGACCGATGGCTGCTCCAGTCTCCATGGTGCCACATCCACAACAGAGTCACAGTTGGCAAACTCCTGCAACTCAGACACGATCAGGACCACATCAACAAACCTGGGTTTGAACTTGATTTGGGTTTCTTTTTACCAAGTTCTTCTCATCAGTGACACACTGCTCACTGAGGTCTTTGTGTTCAGCCTTGGCGCAAGTGGTCCTCTTCATGTCAAACTTCAGGTTAAACCTGAAACCTGCAACCACCTACAGAGAGATACGGGCCAAATATTGGGCAGAAAATGATGTCACGTGTTTCTTTTAGTCTTGAAATCAGCGTTTTTCCCGCCCTACCTGTCTGGTGGCATAGCCGACGCTGTGTAAGGCAAACAGATGGGTGGAGTTGGACACGGCGTTGAACCTGGAGATGGCTGCAGAGAGAGGAGCCTTCAGATCCTCTGATTTGTCGCTGATTTCCATTGGGCAGCCCAGACATGGAGCCCTTGTTTTATCATGGAGCTTTTCTGGAGAGGAAAATAAAAAGAATAAAGCTGAATTAAAAGGAAATAGATGGCTTGTTGGTGGGGAGATTAATTTTGGAAAAGTCTAAGTCTCCTCCCCTTCCGGTCGGCTCATAGGTAAGTGAATGGGGGCTAGAAAAGTCATTTTTTTGGCCCACTTTGCCTTAAGCCCTGAATCACACATGTGCTATACTTCAATTTAAATTATAAATAATTGGGTGTGTTTCGACATTGTCACGTAATTTGAAATGTATTAGCTTGTTCAAATTCGTAATCAAAATGACTACAAATCAGACGTCGCATGTGTGACATCACAGCAGGATCTCTTGTCCACCAGTGTAGCTGCTACTCAGCACATTACCAGATTTTTAGTGGTCTGCTCCATGTTTAATGCTCCTTTCATCCTGGGAGAAGGTTTCGAAGCTCGCTAAACTCACAACCATTTTTCTTCTTTTCTTCTCCATGTCTAGTATAATGATGTAAATTTGGTGAGACGAGCATTTGTAGTCCTTTACATGTTTTCAGACAAAACCTAAAATAACTTCTGCTGCCTGTCGAAAATAAGTGCTTTCTTGGCATCAAAATGTGCCTTTGAAATTCATGACATTATATGTTAAATTCATGGCACATATCAAACGGGTTCAGAAAATAGCTTTTATAACCTGTTAAATTCAGAATAGATTTTAAGATCCTCCTTCTCACATATAAAGCTCTTAATGATCAAGCTCCATCATACATCAGTGATCTGATTGTTCCATACGTTCCTAACTGAGCACTTCGCTCTCTGACTGTAGGTTTACAGGCGGTTCCCAGAATATCTAAAATTGGGATGGGAGGCAGATCTTTTAGTTATCAGGCTCCTCTCTTGTGGAACCATCTCCCAGCTTTAGTCCGTGAGGCAGACACCTTGTCTACTTTTAAGAATAGGCTTAAAACATTTTTATTTGATAGGGCTTATGGTTAAAATCTGATGTTAGCCTAGATCTGGACAAGTGGGGGAGTAGAGGGAGGTGGAGTGTACAGTCGGTAAAGACGGCTCTCCCTTGCCCTGCCTCCAACATGCCTCCATCTAAAAAGGCTAGGTTATCCAGAGTTATCTCTGTAGTTATGCTGCTATAGGCTTAGACTGCTGGAGGATACATTGACCACTTTTCACACTCGACTACTTTCTTCTACAATCTGCTCTTTAACTGTAATATTTCCTGCTATTTCAGCTGTTAACTTTATTTTTTCTCTAAGTGTTTTTCTCCCCAGAAGAAGCTACAACGATGTTCTGCTGAGCTGTGGTGGCCTCATGGAGGGGACCATCGTCTAGCACACTGCTGCTAACCACTTAAACATTCTCCCTCTCCTGATAATAACTTTTTGCTTTCTTTGACGTTGGATTGCTACTACTAGTTTACCCGTCTAACAATAGATTCACTAGGATAAATACAATAAAGTTTATCTCTCGCCAAATGTGCGTGTGTGTGTGTCTGCTCTGTCTTCTCGATCCCCAGTGAGTCGTGGAGGATGGCTGCTTATACTGAGCCAGGATCCTCTGGAGGTTTCTTCCTGTTAAAAGGGAGTTTTCCTCTCCACTGTCGCTATATGCTTGCTTAGTATGAGGATTGCTGTAAAGTCACTGACACCAGTCAGTGACTTGATGCAATTTGCTGGGTTCCTTATATAGGAAACATTATTTCTGATTGGCTTAATGAACTGATCTGAATTGGAATGTTTATTATGTGAGGTGCCTTGAGATAACTCTTGTCGTGATTTGGCGCTACATAAATAAAATTGAATTGAATTGAATCATTTTGTACACTCACGTTCATATTTTTGATATAGGGGACCCAAGCATTTGGGCGTGACTTAGACTCCCCGTCGGCTAAAGAGCTAAAAAGTATTCATATTTAGAGTTTCTTTTAGTTTTGTTTTATATTTTAAATGTCTAATTAATATAATATGATTATTCACAAGGAGAGATTAACATATTTAAACACCAGATGATAGGTCCAGATCCTGCAGAAGCAGGTAAACGGTTCGTATATCTGCAAAGGAATTTTCCATGTTGAGCCCAAGTTCCTGAATGCTGTTTGCTGTACGCCCACACCGACACAGACAAGGCTAAAAGATTAAAGTCTACATCCCATTGCCTTCTATGGAGTGGTAGGTTAATATTACGCTTTTCCTATTTGCAGATGGCATCAGTATATTGCACAACCTCCATCTAGCTGCACCCACTGATGCACGTTGCTGCGAGCTGCTGCTGCAGAACAAATTTCAGTCCAGCAGCTTCGACCTCAAATGTCTTGGGAGAAATTCAAACATGGCACGGGAGTAGAAATTATTGTTAAGCTTTTATAATGCAGAGTTTTTAAAATCGTACTTGTCATAAACACCATTTTCGGTTCAAACTTGATCTCTTCACTCACCAGACATGCAAAACGTCATTCTAGTGTCAACCTCTGTCTCTGTCATGTGGACGGTAGCATTGCATTGAACTGGAGCCTGCAGGACCAACAAGGTACATGTTCATGCTCGAATGCTGAGAGACCATTTATTTTTGATATTTGACAGGAATGCATGAAGACGCGAGAACTGATCTCATCGCACAGCTGTTACCCCTTCTTCCTGTGGGTGGTAGTCACACTCTGTCCAGGGTTTGCTGCTGTCTGCTGGACAGTCGCTCTTTCTGCTGGTGAACTCCAGGGAATACACCGAGTCTGACCCGTTCTCTGACTGCACACACACACACACACATACACACACACACACACACACACACACACACACACACACACCGGATATTTAATTTCAGAAGATCGCATCATGTCTTCCAGGAATTTGTCGATAGCTTCGATCTTTCATGAAACAACTTACAGATTCTAAAAACACGGATTTACTCTAAATGGATAAAAACGGCGGTGAAGTCATAGTTGATACGTTTCTACGTGCACAAACATTGTTTTTGTACCTTACTGGCCGACAAGATCTGAAAGAGAGCCATCTTGTGCCCAGTGGTGATCCCCTCGTTAATCGTTTGCAGGGCACTGCTGACGGCCTTCTCCACCGAGGGGTCGTCACAGAAGATCAGGACGCCACGATGAGGCTCCACCGCCTCCTGGACCCAGAAAGGAAAATCACTGGGAACTACAAACTCCCAGCAGAGGGACTTTAGAGCAGAAATGTTCATAGCTGCACCTCTGCAGACGCAGTAGAAAAATAGAATTCCATGAACATATATTTTAGACAGAATCTTTATTTCTTTTTAACTTTCTAAAATGCTTTAATGTTCTGCGGTATTTTGATCACATTTAATGATAATAATGAGCAATAAATAATAAATGTTTAAACCTTCTGTTTTAACTTGAAGCCAAATATTTTCATTCTGTTGTATTTCTATGAATAGAAACAAAATGATCCTAATTTAAATAAAGTTCAAGTGGTGATTGCAGATTTTTTATTCTGATAACGATAAGGTTTGTTTTGCTCATTGAGTAAAAAATATAAGATATAAGAATAAAAATAAGAATATAAATAAAATAAGAAATTACATTTTTTCCTCATTTAATTGACAATCCTATGAGTTTTAATCGTAATCGGTTTTTGCTCGTTAAGTTCAGTGACCTTTGCCTGGGGTCATTAGTATTCAATGACCACTCAAACACTAAATCTCACATTTCCTTTAAATGCTTTACTTTCACCAAATTTTATGGCGCAAAGACGTTTTCAGCCACGCTGTTGGCTTCCACATTTTCTCAATTCTTGTATAATCTCGATTTTAAAGCCAGGAACACTAAGTCACATTTTTCCTTCTCACCTGAGTAAACACAGAGCTGCAGAGGCTCAGCAGGCCCAGAACGTACAGCTCCACTCCAGTCCTCATCCTCTGATCCTGACGCTGGTGAAGTCTGACAGCAGAAAAACCAAACTAATCATGTATTTCACGTCTTGCAAAATAAGCCTGCCACACTCAGGCGGTAAACATAACCCTTCCATCTGATTATTGGCTGATTGCTTACAGTTAGTAAAGGAGGAGGCCTGCTGTCGATCCTGGAAAAGGAAAACTCAGATCCTCTCTGCTCCGAGTTGGATCGAGTGAAGCTCTCCTGAAACTGGAACACGGAGGGATACATGCAGAGTGGACGGGGGTGGGGGATACACACACACACACACACACACACACACACACACACACACACACACACACACACACACACACACACACACACACACACACACACAGACACAGACACACACACACACACACACACACACACACACACACACACACGCAAACACGCACACGCACACACACACACGCACACACGCACACGCACACACACACACACACACCAGATTCAGCCTGTAACACAAGAGTAAATATTTGCTTTATTTGTCGATCCATCAGTCGGTGTTAGAGGCAAAGCGAAAAACACGGAACAACTTTGATCTTACGCTCATGGAAAAAACAAATGGAATATAAAATATACAAACAGACATCACTGATGCTGATTGTGAGTGCAGAAATACTCTCACAGTGTGTTTATGTGTCCGATTTTACATAATCATTGTGTATGCGTGTGTGTGTGTGTGTATTTTAGAAGGTACTTTGTCCCATTGAACTTTAGCCTCAGTTGCTCTGATTTCCCCACAGACTGAATGTCACACAACCTAAAATGTGCTCAGAATCTTCATCGTTCATCAAATAATCAACAACAATTGCACAAAATATGGGTTCAAATTGGATTTTGAGAATTTGAGTGTAACAAACTCCATTGATGAATAATTCTGCCCTCCAGTGGTGGATCTAGCAGTTTGGAGCTCAAGGTAAACAAAGGCAGGGGGGCTCTGCAGCTGTTGTTCTGAACCTTTTCAACCCTCACTAACAAAAATGTCCTTGTTGTTAATTTGCAGTATTAAAGGCCATCTTCCACTGTAAACCCATCTAAGCATTTTTCGATAGCTTGACCTATGAGTTTTGAATGTCATTACGACTGTGTTCAAATTATAAAAGCATGCTTTGGTGCCTCCTAGTGGGTTTCTCATGACCTGATTGAAAAACAGCACCTTCTGATAAAAAACCCGGAAGTGACGTAGGAGGGAGAAGTCGTTCGCTTCATTATTGGCTGTTTACACGGAGCTTTACCGGGAGATGTCGCCAGAATTGGAGGAAGAATTCGCCCACATTTTTGGTGCTGAAGGTCCACAACCATATAATTTTGAGCCAACTGCGACACCTAATGTTGGAAGTCAAGAGAGGGATTATTTAAATGGTGTTAGAAGGGTTAACCCTTATATGACCTTAGTGCATTTTATTGTGCTCAAAGGACAAAAACGTTAGAAAATTAAAGGGTTATATAAGGGTTAAAGAGCAACATGGTCCCATAAATCTGCAGTTTAATGAGTAAGGACTCATTTGAATGAAAATTAGATGTGTTGTAATTTGCATTAAGACTGAACAACAAATCTTTGCAACAAAGAGCAGGTTCACTGAGAAATCGATGTTTACTAATTATTTTTGAAAACGAGTCACTCTGAATTTAACACACAGGCTGAAAGTGAAAATAGTATTTTACCTTTATCCCCTGCATCAGCTTCTGATAGAAAAAAGACAGGAAAACACTTGGTTCAGAAAAGCCTGACCGATCTATGTCACACTCACTTAACGTTCACGGACTCACCCGTCTTGGCTTGTGACGGGGAAGGCTGTTGTTGGTTTAGCGTCCAGGAAACAGCAGGGAACGTCTTGGCTAGTAGAAGCTAACATTAGCATTAGCAACTCCTCCACACAGCAGAACTCCTTCAGGCTTGTGTTATTTGTTGAGATAAAACATCAACATTGTAGAGCAAACTGAGTCAGTTGGAGAGTCCTGTTGCTGTTTGCCAATTGGAGGCGAGACGTCCAAATATTAGAAAATAAGACTCCAAATTCTGTCGTCTGAAGCTATTTTCTCCTCCAACTGACTTCTACGTCCTCCGACATGCACACCGGAGCCCCCCCCCCCCCCCCCCCCCCCCCAGAGGACTACCTACAAGGCATTCATTTCTACTAGAGGCCTCTGCAAATGTATAAGGTTATGAGTAAAGTATATGAGTAAAGTATATGAGTAAAGTTGACCTATAACATTAAAGTGGCTTTCAGGAAAACCTGATTTATATGTCTCTGTCAGCACGGGTGTGAGGTTACCCAAAAGTTTGGAAGGAGACATTTTCCTTTTGGTCCTCTGTTGTCCTTTGGAATGTTGTCCTGCCTGGACAAAGCTTTTCTGGCAGTATCCTGGCACCAGAAATCACATCTCTGTTCCATGATAGAGAATTTATTGCTGTGTATTTTTATTGATTTTCTGTTTATGAATTTCAGAGACTCCAGGTTACTGAAAAATTAAAGGAAGTGGCGTCCCGACCAATCACAGGCTTGTGTTAATCACCTCTGCGGGCCTGTTGTAGAGCCCTTGCATCGACGCATCTCCGTGGGTGTCTCCTTATCAACGCAGAGGGAGAACTATTATCAGGCTTAATTGCTACTCTGTAGAACGATAAAGAAATCCATAACATCTAGCAGCATTGCTGCTTCTTTCGCTTTTACAGATGACAATTTGCTTGTCGGCCATTCTCTTCTGTCATGTAATAATCATGTATCTGAGCGAGAGGGAACAATCAAACATTATAACATGACAGTCTGATGTCATTTCAGCATAACATTGTTTTTTTTAAATGACATGGTTAAATTTTCTAGGAGGAAAAAGTATTTTAAACATTTTTGTTAAATGTTCATCATGGGGCCGTGAAAGTGCTTAGGGCCCAAGGTAACAACCCAGTGATAAGTCTGCCTCTGCTGCCCTCTTAAGGTTGTGACACAGAAGTTGAGCTCCTCGAAAGATCATAAAACATCTGCAAAAAAGAAAACAAAATGTTTAAGATGCATTTGTTTTACTATTTTAATCTAATTAAATTCAATAAGATATTTTTATTTGTAAGACTCAATTTGAGAATCTCTATGTTGAAAGAAAAACAAAACTACTAATCAGTTCACCCATACCATGCCATGCAGTACCATACCATACCATACCATACCATACCATACCTACCATACCATAGCATACCGTACAATACCATACCATACCATACCATACCATACCATACCATACCATACCATACCATACCATATCATACCATACCATACCATACCTACCATACCATACCATACCATACCTACCATACCATACCATACCATAGCATACCATACCATATCATACCATACCATACCATACCTACCATACCATACCATACCATACCATACCATACCATATCATACCATACCATACCATACCTACCATACTATACCATACCATACCATACCTACCATACCATACCATACCATACCATACCATACCATACCATACCATACCATACCTACCATACCATAGCATACCGTACAATAGCATACCATACCATACCATATCATACCATACCATACCATACCTACCATACCATAGCATACCGTACAATAGCATACCATACCATACCATACCATACCATGCAATACCACACCACACCATGCCATGCCATACCATACCATACCATACCATACCATACCATACCATACCATACCATACCATACCATGCAATACAATACAAATCATATCATACCATACCATACCATACCATACCATACCATACCATACCATACCATACCATACCATAGCATACCGTACAATAGCATACCATACCATACCATATCATACCATACCATACCATACCTACCATACCATAGCATACCGTACAATAGCATACCATACCATACCAAACCATATCATACCATACCATACCATACCATACCATACCATACCATGCAATACCACACCACACCACGCCATGCCATACCATACCATACCATACCATACCATACCATACCATACCATACCATACCATGCAATACAATACAATACCATACCATACCATACCATACCATACCATACCATACCATACATACTGTAGCGTTGTGGTTTTATGCTCTTTTATGAAAGAGGAACCATGCTACGTATTAATTCGGAATATTAATTTTTAATATTCAATAACCAAGTTTTATATTGTTCAGAAGACTCAAAGGTTGTTTTCATCGATAAACTGCCGATAATATCTGAGTGTCTGTGTTTCAGTTCAATGAGGAAACCAGTTTGACGATTAAAAGTTTTAATTCTTCAAATTAAACTAATGATTTTGAAAATTGACAAACAGGAAATGACAATCACATTGGCAACTTTGTGGGACAATCTTTAACAGTTGATATGCTGTTCTTGCTCAAATAGACCTTCTGGTGAATTTATGAAGATTGAGAATGTTGTGAGTTGTGAGAGTGATATGATGTGAGATGGATGCGTGTGTGCATCTGATTTTGCTTCAGGAAGAAACAGGTGTCTGAGTGAAAAGTGATGGTTTGAATAAACTTAGGTTTAGTTGGAAAAGATGCATCAAAACGCTAAACACCGTGCTGTCTCACCGAACTCTTGTGGACCCTCTTTCGGATCCGGGTCGTGGAGGATGTGGTGGTTCATCCAGATGACACCGGCGGCTGACAGGAGACGTAGGTGTCGAACGGAACCGGTCCAGAGTTGCCCTCGGTACACGTTGATGGTAAAGCGTTTTGTCGACGCGCTTTCTTAAGTTAATTCACTCAGAAATCAAAAGACTCGGTAATGAGTCTGCGTTAGAAGTCGCGATTCAGCTATTCTGCCTGACTTGGCAGGAACAGCGTGAAAGGGGGGAGAAACGAGCCAGCCGGCTCTGTCCCCCCTTTGGTTCTCTCTCTTTCGTTGTCAAGCCCGAACTGTTATCATAAGACTGAAACTTACCAAAAACCTTTCTCTTCTCAAAGCAAACGTGTGCGTCATCAAATGTGTCTGGAGTTTACTGTGGGAAGATGTCTGTGGGTGTGTGTGAGTGTTTGTGTGTGAAGGTCAGCAACAAACATCCTCAACACTATCTAATCATGGATTCATTAAGCCATTATAATTACCCCAAAGCATAAGAACCATTCATTTGATTAAACACATTTATAATGAGCAAAATGATAATGGTTACTTTAACATTAAAATCAAGAAAAAGAAGTTTAAACTTTATGTTTTGATTTGTTATGACTACTTGTCCATGAGAACTCCTTCTTCTGGTACCGCAGGTGGCAGATGTTATGGTTTCCTCCCAGACTCGCTGGCGTTCAGGTCTTAATCTGTGGGTGAAAGTTCTCAATGACCCAGCTTTGACACAGCTTAGTCCAGCACCACCTTTGTGACAGAAAACCCCATATTTCCTCACGTTACAATACCATACCATACCATACCATACCATACCATAGTATATCATGCAATACAATACAATACCATATCATACCATACCATACCATACATACCATGCCATACCATACCATACCATACCATACATACCATGCCATACCATACCATACCATACCATACCATACCATACCATACCATACATACCATGCCATACCATACCATACCATACCATACCATACCATACCATACCATACCATACCATAGTATATCATGCAATACAATACAATACCATATCATACCATACCATACCATACATACCATGCCATACCATACCATACCATACCATACCATACCATACCATACCATACCATACCATACCTACCACACCATAGCATACCATAGCATACCATACCATGCAATACAATACCATACCATAACATACCATACCATACCATACCATACCATACCATACCATACCATACCATACCATACCACACCACGCCACGCCACGCCACACCACGCCACGCCATCCCATGCCATGCCATGTCATGCCATGCCATGCCATACCATACCATACCATACCATACATACCATGCCATACCATACCATACCATACCATACCATACCATACCATACCATACCATACCATACCATACCTAACATACCATAGCATACCATACCATGCAATACAATACAATACCATATCACACCATGCCATGCCATGCCATACCATACCATACCATATCATACCACACCATACCATACCATACCATACCATACCATACCATACCTAACATACCATACCATACCATACCTAACATACCATAGCATACCATACCATGCAATACAATACAATACCATATCACACCATGCCATGCCATGCCATACCATACCATACCATATCATACCACACCATACCATACCATACCATACCATACCATACCATACCATACCATACCATACCATATCATACCATACCATAGTTGGCAGATGTCTCATAAAAGCTGATGCATTGTTGTGTTGTTGTTTTTTTCTGCTTGTCCGTTGTTATCCCCTTTACCTCCTCCAGTAGAAGCTCCTTGTAATTTATCAGGAATGGTTCCTAGTATCATCCAAGATAATAACCTTTATAAGACTCAGCAAACTCCTTCTAGATGAGAGCCAACACTATCCTTTAGTTTTCGTCTCAGGTATCCGCGTGATTTCATGAGAGTCCAATCTTCATCTTTATCCATCTTCTCCCTTGGTCACCATTTAGCACCAGGAACACTTTCACTCAGGCTGAACCAGACACCCAGACGTCCCACGAACCGATTGCTTGGGTTTGTGGGACCATGCATGGGTTTTATAATATTACCAGTAACACTGGCAGGAGTTGATGCCTTGTACAATGCAGTCTTTAGATGTTCTTTATCAATTAGATGTTATAACCCAATTGTTTAAGGACCCTGAATTTGAACTGATTAACTTAGAACATTCCATTAGCTTTGTTGTTGTTTCTCAAGGCTTGGGCACATACGTATAAACAAATGAACAAACAAAACAAGACAAATGCAGTCAAAAACATGTCTCATACGTGTCTCTGTTCCCTTACACACCAAACAAATGTCAAGCAAAAACAAAAATGTGAAACTCCCCATTTAAGTAGGCATGCATGTTAGTAATCACATTGAAAGATTCCTTCCACTTCTTAAATAACTAGATTATTCATGGAAAATTCTCAAGCTGCAAGTTAAAGTTAAAGTTAAAGTCCCATTAGTTGTCACACACACTGATGTGTGTGCGAAATTTGTTCTCCGCATTTGACCCATCCCCTGGGGGAGCGGTGAGCTGCAGACACAGCCGCGCTCGGGAACCATTTGGTAGTTTAACCCCCCAATCCAACCCCCTTATAGCTGAGTGTCAAGCAGGGAGTGGGAACACACAAATAAACTACTTATTTTCTCAAGTTGGTGTTCCAACTTAGTATAAATGAGCTACCTAACCGTACATTATATCAGTGGGAAAAAAATTAAAGCCTAGATCTTTTGGCTTGCAGTCAAATAAATTTTAACACATACTTTTTCATAACTGTAGTTCTCATGTTGCTGTGTGATCTCTCTAATTAGAAACCAAAACAACCACTTTACTATTACTTCAACGAAATAGAGCTTCAGGTTTTTCCAATGTCCTTTCCACGCTACTTACTCCAATTATGAGCCTCAAAGCAGAAAACATGATGAGTAAATATTATTCCCAAATCAGATTTAAGTTGAAAATCTCTAGAAGCCCAGACTACCTTGCTTTCTTTCTTTATGAGTGCAAGAAATCCTAATAATTCATTCACTACTTAAGGTTCATTCATAAATAATGAAACTTCAGTTATAGAGTTTGTTTGTATTTATTTTCTGGGTAATTTACTTAAAGCCAAACATCATAAAAATCTAATATTGGTTATCTACAGTTTTCTTATTTATTCATTTATATGTTTGGCTCTGTTCTTCCTTTCCATCTGTAAAACAAATTTGTATCTTCTTTAAAGCGTTTGAAAAGAAACTGCTTTGCTAAATCATGCCATGCCAGGCCAGGCCAGGCCACATCATATCATATCATATCATATCATACTACACCAGCCAATGGCATCTTTAGGAATTAATTCTTTGATCTTTAATTTTGAAAGCTAATTTAAAAACAACATGGCAGCAGAGCTCAGATTCATAGTAAACTAAATTCAGTCGCAAATCTCTAAAATGAACTAAAACCTGAGAGGGATTCAAATCTTCATTGATCTGCTGCTTCAGAGGTTTTAGTCTCATCAGGCACAACATTTTAACCCTGCGATGTCATTTCTGCTCCACTTCTGTGACACATTTGAGCTGTTCTCACCTCAGCTGTTGCACTTCCTTTCTCGTGGTGCCGAACATCTCCTTTTCTCTCTAATCATGAAGCAAAAGCATCGTGCATGGTCGGTTTTCTTCTTAACTGCTTTAATTCCTGGTAAGCTTGATGATTGTTCAATGTAAATCTCCCTCAGATTACTGATTTAAAGTTTTAATTTTGTGTGTTTTTATTTATTTAATATAAAGACTGACTTTTTACGCTGCAATCCTGAAAGTTTCCATTATTTGTCAGCTGAACCAGAAACTGTTAATCAGAGCCGAACATGAACTTTATTGATGTTTTCCTGTAACAGCGCTGCTTGTAAGGGATGCTGCTAAAGTCTGAAACTGGAGGCCATTCTGGTTTCCTCTCCCACACACTGATCGTTGGTTCAGTGGTCGTCATTTGTTCTCATAGTTGTGTTCTTTCTCACTCTGTGGTTTAAGCAAACATGGGGGTGCGAAGAACTTCATCTTCTTATACCTTAACAATCATGCACATCTAATCAGGTAAAGAGGATTAAATTATATCCAAAAATGGCGCACGTGTAATGGAATTAAGATGAAATTTAACAGTTTTTTAAGGTTTTTATTCATGCCAAAATCGTATGTTTATGCTTAAAGGATTTTGGACAGGTAAGATGGAGGTGGTGGTGGTGGTGGTGGGGTGGGGGGGTTGAGAGAGTGGTGAAAGAAGCCTTTATTGTGAAAAATGAAAATTTAACTTTGAGCAGAGAGGGTGGTCTCAGGTTTCATCTGTCCAACAGCCAGTGCAGCCCTGACTCATCTCCCCAGGCAGTTACACTCCAACTCTCACCTTGAGACCTCTGTGTCACTGCTTCAGACGTGTCCAAAACCTTGCACAGGTAGGCATTGTTGGGGGACCCATTAAGATCATCAGCACCAATGACAAACAGTGAGCTGATTAATGGCAGTTAGCATCTGCTCTACTCCGCACGGACTGGGCTGGGAGCTTTCTCATTTAGGTACCCTTGGATTTTCCCGTGCGCAAACCGGACGTCTTTTCAGCCCTCTTCCTGAGGCAATCTGCCTGGAGCCCAACAAGGCAGATACACCCACTACTGGCTGATTGGCCGGCTCAAAATCACACATACCATTAGGAGGAGCCTCTGAGGGATAGAATGAGCCTTCCAGCATGCATGATTCATTATCATTCTCGATGCTGTGGAGTTAAACCTCAACATCAACTCTCCATCTAAAGATTGGGAACGGAGCCCCAATAAAAATGCCATTTCCACATCAGCCTGGTCTGGTCCAGGCTGGATGGTTCGGGTGCTGCATTGGTAGGGTTTGTTCACACACACTTCTCAGGAATGTGGAAATCTCTGAGCATGTGGGTGGGGCAAAAGACGCTTGGAGAAGCCGGTGGTGTCTCCCTTGTAGATTTCCGTTTATCTTGAACATAACTTGCTTTTCACTGTGATCAAAGCCGCGCTCATTACGTTTTTTTTTTTTTTGACAAGACGCTCCTAAACGTGGCTGTCCTCCACAGTCCCTGTGCAGTCTCTGGTGATCTGCGCTCCAGTTCTAATGGAAAGAAGCTCCTGGAGCGCTGCATCACTCTAGTTTATCATCTCAGCTGGTTCTGTTAACAAAAGTGAAACTTACTGCCCATGTTTACATTCATAAAATTAAATGAAGGCGTTTGTTGCTTTTGGAGACTCTGATATTGCATCCAGACTCCTGTGTCTGTCCTCCCACGTGTCAGCCTGGCAGCGCTGTGTGTTAGCCTAGTGAACTAGACCAAATTCTTGCTTTGTAAAGTTGATCTAGAAACGCTCCATTGGAACCTCTACAGCCCCTAGCAGCATCCTGGCTGGCCAATCACAGCTCTCTATAACAGAGTGCTGTGATTGGTTCACAATGGTGGGCCAATCACAGCACTCTATCTGCTTTTTCGACCAATCATGGCCCTCCAATCATCTGGTGGGCGGGATGATGCGACAGAGTGGAACAGGATGGCGACAACTCATTTGACTCTAATTTACATCAAATTTGGACTATCTGGACTTGGGTTTTATTAGAATCAAGAGCAGATAGATTAATTCAAGTCCTTTATTTAGAAAAAGGATGTATTTTGCCTTCTTCAACAGTGGACTGCCTCGTTTACCGACATCCGTTACGTCGTGTTGTTCATTGTCCAGTAGCATGCGATGATCGTTTGAAAGACAACGGTAGAAACCATGGCCAAGAGCCGTCAATGGAGCTGTGCCAGACAAAATAATATATTAATTTAGTTTGGCTTGCCAGGCTACTGTGTTTGTGCTCTTCAGACAAAAAACAGCTTCAGTCAGAGGCCATGTTTACTCCTCAGTGTCCAGAATGATAACGAGTCTTGTGGAAAGACCCCCCTGCTGATTCTTGTGCCAATCTGAGGCTCCTCCTCATGGTAGGCATGAATTTGAGCCAGCCAATCAGTCGGCAGTGTGTGTGCTGGGACAGTACAGGCCGAAGCAGACTGCCTTGGGAAGAAGGCTACAATCAAAGTCCTTGAAGATGTGAATGCAGCATTGAGAACGATTCCTACAACCACCATCACTGAAACCAATGAGCTGATATTCACTTCAGCAGCAGTGATCCTTGAGGTGCTTGGCTATGAGCAAGTGCATCCACGAGAAACAATAGTCACCATGGAAAACAAGGTTGGAGGCCAACATCAAGGCAGCACAGAGAGAAGTGACCCAACTATTAGAGCTCCAGAAAGGTACAATGGTACAGCCAGATACCCATACATGAAGCCCTGGAAACTGTTCCAAACCTAAAGAGAAAGTGCAGCCAGATGAATAAACCGGTTCTTCTCAACGCAAGCAGCTAAAGTGTACTCTCAGTGGCAAGGTAACAACAGCAGAGCAGACCCACCAAGGCTGGAGACAGTACTAGAAGTAGGAGGCATCACACAACAGAGATGCAAAGTGGCTGGTCGCTCTAAGACCACAGCAACCTCCCTGAGTAGAACCCAGTATCCATCACTGTGGCAGATTTCCAAGAAAGAGTCTCAGATATGAAAAACTGGACAGCGCCAGGGCCAGCATGTTCCACACCTCCTTGGCCTGAAGGACTCCAAAAGGGCACAGCTTCATCGCATGCTGGTGACATTCTTGGAGAAGCCCTACCACACACATCAGCGTCCGAAAAGCTCCAGAAAAGGAAATCATAAGTGTGGACGCTGTGATCACTGTTACAATATGTGTAATGTGAAACTTTTCATTGACATTTCATCTGGATGCAGATTTAATATCAATTAATTTCTCAACTACAATACCTCATACATACATTGTTTACAGACTTGAATGTCCATGCAGCTGTTTTCATATGAGGAGAACCAAGCGCAAACATAAGGCAAGACTTGCTGAACATAAACATGCAACTAGTCATCCTCTACATCAGGGGTGTCAAATGTGCGTCCCGCAGGCCGGATCCGGCCCGCAAGCGGGTTAAATCCGGCCCGCGAGATGGTTGTGTAAACTTTATTTTCATACTTTAGAATGTAGAGTGAAAATAAACTTATCTTTGTGAGCAAGTTTTCTCTGTAATGAGTATAAATAAATCCAAGCTGCGCTCAAGGCTCACACAAGAACTTGAATCACATCCTGAAGTTGGCCGCCACTCAGGATGTGACTTCTGATGTTGATGTGCTGGTGAAAGCTAAAAGATGTAAAGTAAAATGAGTCATATTTGAAGTGCTGCATGAAACTGATCTAGCCATGTGATCTGTAAGCTCTTTGAATCACTAAGGAATGTTTTATTTATTTAATTATTGATTTTTTTTTTCAAATTTTCAAGTACACTTCAGGTGTTGTACTTGTACTATTTTGGATACACTGTCCTCAGGCTCCAGCCTTGTTTTATATTGATTGTATTAAAACAAAGAAAACAATCTGAAGTTGTTTTTAATTTACCGGTCCGGCCCACTTGGGACTAGATTTCTCGCAATGTGGCCCCTGAGCTAAAATGAGTTTGACACCCCTGTTCTACATCATATGGTGGTATATCATACAGAAGCAAACCATGCAGGCTGTAATTCCCTCCATATTTCAGGTATAGAGCCTGTTCAAGATGCAAGCAGAGGGGGCAATAGACTAAAGGAAGCCTCATTAATTCATGAGGCTTCCTTTGGCCATCGCTAGCTGAAACGAGTTGACATAATTTTATTCAACAAGCCATATAAAGGCTTCATAATCATTATCATCCTCCCGAGGGCCTCCGATACTTTTTTCTATATGTGCATGCCTCAGTTGAAGAGCACCAAAGGTATTTATACAGTTTCACACCCAAGAAGCACCCCACTCATTTTTGACCTGGTAAAATATGTTTATTTGTTCTCATTTTACGAGATCATGTTGTGTCCACCACTAGGGGGCAGCCTAAGACAGGAAGTAAGTGAGGGAGAGTAAGGGAAGCATTTCTTAAGAGGAATGAAGATGGATGCCTGCTACTGCACATATGACGCAGGTTCGATTTAAACTTGGAAAAGGAAGTCTTGCCTACTCGGGATACTTTCTGAAACAAATGCCGACCATAACAGATTATAATGTTATAATGTTCACAGGATAAGATGAAGAAGGGAAATGTTTCACACATAGCTCAATCAAGAATTGTTTTTCATCAGCAGCCACTGGTGTTGGGACAACACATTCTCACACCCGAAGCATCGAAAAATGATACTAGGACTGGCACAGCGCGTCGCCTCCAGACACGTTGGGAGTCCCAAAGCGTTGGAAACAAACGCTTGGTCACCCATCGTCATTTTTCAACGCTTTGGGTGTGAGAATGTGTTGGTTGGGTTTGCATGTTCTTCACATGCACGGGGGGTCTCCAGGTACAGAAACAACCCTCCAACCAAAATCATGCATGTTAGGTTAACTGGAGACTAACTGTCTCTGGATATGAGTGAGTGACTTGTTGTTTGACTTTGTGTGTCCCTGTGGTGGAAGAGCGACCTGTCCAGGTTGTCCTACATCTTACTTATAACTGTAGACACATTACTTGTCCGTGTGTGTGTGTGTGTGTGTGTGTGTGTGTGTGTGTGTGTGTGTGTGTGTGTGTGTGTGTGTGTGTGTGTGTGTGCTCTGTCTTCTCGATCCCCAGTGAGTCGTGGAGGATGGCTGCTTATACTGAGCCAGGATCCTCTGGAGGTTTCTTCCTGTTAAAAGGGAGTTTTCCTCTCCACTGTCGCTTTATGCTTGCTTGGTATGAGGATTGCTGTATAGTCACTGACACTAGTCAGTGACTTGATGCAATTTGCTGGGTTCCTTATATAGGAAACATTATTTCTGATTGGCTTAATGAACTGACCTGAATTGGAATGTTTATTATGTGAAGTGCCTTGAGACGACTCTTGTCGTGATTTGGCGCTATATAAATAAACTTGAATTGAACTTATTGACTGACACAACCCTAGTGAGGTCAATCGTTTTAGGGGATGGATGAGTGAGGTTGTAGACTCGAGGGTTGTTCTTGATCAGGAATTTTATGCAGACTAAACTCTCACTGTTGGGTCCCACTGAGCTGGAACATCAAATCTTCCCCCTGATTCACCAGTGAGATAATCTCCCCCTCCTTCAGGTTTCCACCTTCACAGAGATGACATCTCCAGCCAGGAGGCTCAGATCTTCAGTCCTGTTCTGCAGCCCAATGAGACCATTCCAACACCTGGTAAACACAAACATTTGATTTCGACCAAAAATAAAATAAAAATTAATAAATAAACTAATAAAAACATTTGTGTACATGTCAAACATTGAATACTAAACAGATTCATTTATAGGTATGAAATATTCTATTAAAGGTGTTTCACTGTTTACTGAGTGTTTTGAATTTTTAAAACCATTCATCTTATTAGCTCAGTTATTTACTCTCATAATGTCAGGAGAAACTCTCATATGACACACATCACACACATGTGAAAACTAAAAATTGTCTATCTGCCTACAATAAGTGTGTGTGTGTCCAGGAACCTACACATTGAAAGATCCTGATGGGAGAACGTGCATCAAAGCTACCATGGGAGCTGAGTACATCGTCACCGAGATGAAGGTCAGAGACTCCAGTCTGTGTGTGTGAAAGATTTTTCTTTACACCCACTGTTGGTACGCAGAAACCAGACTCTGTGTACAGATCACTGCTTCCTGGTAAAAAGGCAAATACTTGTGAGTAATATACATTTTTTTCTGTGTCTTTAGTCTAGCTGGTATTTCAACCTGGATCCATCCAGGATCAGAATGAATGGTTATTGTGGCAAAGAAGACGCTCTTCTCTCTCTGACTCTGCCCAATGACTCAGCTGGTTTGCATTTCACCTTCAGAACGGTAAAGAAACACAAACACATTTAACGCATTTCCGACGAGACCCAGAAAACAACACCTCAAGATCAGACACAGAGGCCAGAACCGGTTTATGTAAACAGCCAGGAGAAACCACGGATGGATACTTAGTCTGGATAATCCAGCGATGGATATTCCAAAACTCCCAAATTTGTTCAAACTACTAAATACGACTAACTACGAAATAAAGTCAATAATTAACTCCAAAACGTCCACTTCCGCCCCTGTACAGCACAGGCCTACATGCATGCACTGTAAAATATTTCTGAATGTATGTAAGTAAATTGTTTTTATATAGCACTTATCACAGACATCACAAAGAGCTTCACACAGATCAAAACAAAATGAAACAAAGTCATAAAATCATAATGATCTCAAAACAGAGTCAGATTAACATCAGAAAAAATAAAGTCATAAAATTATAAAATTTCATAAACACATGAAAGATTTAAAAAAAATTGAGTTAAAAGTAAGAAAACAAAAGGTTTAGGTAAAAGCAGCTTTAAATAAAAGGGTCTTTAGCTGTTTTTTAAAAGTGTCCGGACTGTCGATGCTGCGTAAGGATAAAGGAAAATCATTCCAGAGTCGAGGTGCAACAGTCTGGAAGGAGCGATCACCTCGACTTTTATATCTGGTTTTTGGAACTTCTAGAAGGTTCTGGTGTGTGGACCTGAGGGCTCGGGTTGGAGCATAAGGCTTTAACAGTTCAGTAATACAGGGAGGAGCTTGACCATGTAGACCATTTAAAGTTATAGTCAGGATTCTAAAATGAACTCTAAAGTTAACCGGTAACCAGTGCAGAGACATTGGAATAGGAGTGATGCGTGCTCTTCTGTTTGCTCCAGTTAGGAGCCTCGCTGCAGAGTTCTGGACCAACTGAAGGCGGTCAAGGCTTTTTGTTAAAACATGTGAAAAGTGTGTTACAGTAATCTAGACGGGAGGAGATAAAGGCATGGATAACCATTTCAAGTTCATGTTTTGACACCAACCTTCACAGTTTGGAGATATTTCTTAAGTGATAAAAACGGTTTCGGACCAACGTTTTTGAGTGACCTTCAAGAGACACTGATTGGTCAAAAATAACACAGAAATTCCTTAAGTTTGTCTTGACGGCAGAAGATAAATGACCAAGTTTTAGACTAATCAGGGGAACCATGCTCTCAGGGGCAATGATCAGACATTCAGTCTTTTCAGAGCTTAACTGAAGGAATTTATTGTCTAGCCAGCTGGTGATAGCTGATAGACGCTCTAGTAATTCAGACAGTTTATAGAACTCAGAATCCTTAGAGTAGCAGTACAGCTGAATATCATCTGCATATACTGTAGGTGATAAGAGACATTATGAAAATAATCAATTATCTGTCCAAGAGGGTGCATGTACAGTAGAAACAACAGTGGACCCAAAACAGAGCCTTGTGGTACCCCACAGAACAGATAGGTAGAATCTGACATGATTTGGTTTATACAGACACTGTAACTTCTGTTAGAAAGGTGCGATCTAAACCAGTCTAGAACAGTTCCAGAGATCCCCACCGAGTCACCAAGTCTGTTAATTAAGGTGCTGTGATCAACAGTGTCAAAAGCTGTTGTGTACAAAACACACAAATACATTGTACATAATAAATCTTACTGTATTTTCTCACAAAAACAACATACACAGTGTTCCTCCAAACATGCATGTAATTATACAAACAACAGAAGAATGTCATCATCACACACCGGCAAAATTCATCTCCGCATTTGGCCCATCTATCTGATCTGGTGGAAGGAGTGTTGTGTAGGATATCCAGGAATGTGATCTGATATGGTGTAGGGGCCAAGGGGAGCATGGTGGTGGATGACACCATGGTGGGAAATTGCTGCTTTGGTTTCGTGATTGCAATGATGCATGTCAGGTGTTTTCCCATTGTAGCGTCATGAATGTCCTGTTTTTGACATAAAGGTCATGATCTGCTGAGTCTGCTCGAGCAGAGGCATAAAGTCTCTGACAGGCTAATCTACATGAGATAGTGGCCAAGGTCTTTCATGCACTCTGCTCATCTGAACTGCTTCACCTCTGTCAAGACAAAGATGAAGAACTCTATTTTGATAAACACATAATCAACAACTTTGTTATTTACCAATAATGATGTGTGCCCAATGTTCAATCAATCTGTGAAATGACAATGTTATTACTTGATATTATAATCCTGTGATCAGTAGTATTTTACAAGTTATTATAATCCTGGACATTTGCACTAGACACTAATGACACGTAATGCTAAAGTCACACGACACATTTCCTTTTGTCTCACCCAATCAGAACCTTTGTTTCTGGTGCAAGGCGTGGTTTTCTGTGGTGTTTGTCTAAACCCTCTTTTGCGTGTCAAATTCTGATTCACCAGTAAACCAAAATATGACAATTATAAAAACTATCCCACGCCACCTTTTCTTGAGTTCAAGCATTCTAGAGAAGTCTCGGACAGGCCATCCGGACTTCCTCTTCAGCCATAAAGAACCTCGACAAGCTGGATAAAATCTGTTGCAACATTCCTTCAGAATAAAAGCTGAACCTCACGACCCCTTCAGGGTCTCGGAGACGCCAGTGATAACCTGCAGAGACCTGGAAGCATTCCAAGACTAGCTTGGTCTGCACCGCTGCTTTTCTACCGGCTTCGGTACCAAGGAGGGTCCAAGAGGACCTCGGCATTCTGGATCTAATCGGAGGCTTCCCCTGGGGTACATAGACCGACAGATGGCGTTTCATGTGTGTTATAAATCTCCTACTAAAGTTTAGAGTGAAGCCCACTCAGAACTAACCGCTTCTCCGGATCCGCTGGTTCTGATAATAACATTCCACACACACACCATCATTCATCTCACGTCTCACTCCACCTTAGTCCATCAGTACACAGAGTGTTAAAGTTAGTCTTGTTTAAATTGTGTAGAAATAAATTTCTTAACTATTTTAAACCTGATTCTCTCTCTTTCCTTGGCGTTAATACGAAGTGTCGCTTAATCCCTGCAATAAAAATTTCCGATCTTCTGGTTAAAATAGTCAAAGATCCATCAGATTGATTTTTCATATTTCTATGGAATCTCACATTTTATGGTTTATAAGTAAGATGTAAACGACCCATTCTTTACACCATTTGATGAGTTGGTGTGCAAAGCAGGGCAACTGACTTCAATTTTGAATGACAGTGTGTTTGTTATGAAAACAAGAGGTTTTCTTTATGAAAAATGTGTCAAATGCAAAGTGTGGAGTTTTGACAAAACTGCAGTTTGAGTGTAAAGCAAGAATTGTGCTTAAAGTTCAGGAGAACTGATTGAGGGAGTTGGTGCATCAATTACATGCTGTGGTCACTGTGTGTGACATAAGTAATGTGTGCATGTAAACAACTGAGAAAAACTGTAATTGTGCAGTCACACCATGACTGTAGTTTACATCCAACTAAAATTCAAAGTATTTCATGTTTTCTGATAAAAATACACCATTTTTAAGGAAGTGTTATGTTTGATTCAGCATGGAAAACAAATAATGATTTCTTACTCCATTTCTTTTTTTCAAATCTTTTCCACAGGAGAGAAATATTTTTTATGTCACCAATCTGACAGCTCACCTGTTTCCTCAACCTGTCTGCAAAAGCTGCCTCAGTAAGCAAGAAAGTCTCAATAATACAAGAACGATGATTCCTAATTAATCACCTCTGTCCTACTCCCGTTTCCTCATAGATAAGTCTTATTCTGGTTCTGTGGCCCATGAAAAGCTCTTCAAGACACTAGATGGTCACAGCTTCAAGTGTAAATCTGCAACTCTCCTTTTGGTTTCTTCTAAGCTGAAGATCAAGTTGGATTCTCTGCAGATGCAGGCATTTGGCGTGCCCAATGGACTGTATGGAGAAGGTGCTAGAAATATGAAACATCATGTTTTCATTTATCTTTTTTAGAGACAAGTACTGATGTGGTGCAGATTCATAAGCATCAAACCAGTTGAATTGATTGTGTTTTTGTTTCAGAGGATGAGTGCTGGGCAGATTTTAACAAAAGAACCGTTCCCATCATCATCGGCTCCATCATAGTCAGTCTCATCCTGTGCATCATGCTGAGCTTCCTGTTCATCCGAGATCACCGCAGACCAGGATATGAGAGGCTCTGATCTTCCACATAACACACACCATCACAGATACCTGCATCCCTGTTACTGAACACTTGACCTTTCTTATTATTCAACTGTAAATTTACAAATTATATTTAAAACAGATGAATGCTTTTGTTTTTGAGTCCTTGCAATCAGAAAAGCCAGTAACAAAAAATGTATTTAAAGGGACTTTACAGACTTTTGAATTTTTATGCTCGCGATTACCCCCTCAGGCCAAAAGCGTAACGGCAGCTTCAATAGTAGTCTCGTGCACGAGGTGCGCATGTTGTACGTGCACACTCCTTAATGAAAATAACAGCTGAGACAGTCCTGTGTGTGTGTGTGTGTGTGGCCCGGAGGACAGAGGACAGGAGAACGCGCAGCTAATTAATTAAATAATTTGGTTCTGTACCTTTCTCTTCAGCACAGCCGACAAAGGTTTATGATGGGTCAGTCCTCCTGCATGCTCAGATCATTCCCTTCCCTTGCTTGAAAAATTGTTCCAAAATGAAAGTTGAACCCACATCTTTTTATCTGTGAATTCAATGCCATTCGGCGAGTCTCAAATAAAAATTTGGGCATCTTACTGTAAAAAAATATACCATTAATGTAAAAAAGAAACTAAATGAACTATGTTCACATCCAGAATTGAACCCAGGTCTTCTGCACAGGAGTCAGACATCTTACATGGTGAGCTACACTCTAGTAACATTCACAGCATCTGTAACTTTTATATCCTTGATGACAGCTGAAACAACATCAAACCTAAGAATGGTTCAGAGCGAAAATGGCTATTTTGTTGCTAATTTGCAGGAAATATCTAGAAGAAAGTTCTACAGAAAGTAGCTAAGGGTCCTCAGAAATGTAGCTAGCTTTGTCACTAGGCGTTAGGAACAGCGACAAAGTCGCTGAGTTGGCACTACCTCTCTCTCTGCTGCTAAAGCTACGGATAGCAAATGCTACGGGCGATGCCTGAGCGTGAACGCGCATGAAGAAGCCTGCTCGACCCGAGCATCTCTCTTTTTCTGTGATTTTACAGAAAAACAGGCAATCACAGTAAAAATGCCAGGGCTCATTCTACAGGACCAGGGCATTGCAGGAGAATGTATGAAGAAGACATTTATTATTTCTATACATGTTTTGGCTGTCTAACTTCCATAATGTCCCTTTAAATACAAGACTGTACAGAAGCGTATTGCATTCAGCCCCCCAAAAATAAAAAGCTCTGTTTTACTGAACTGACAAAATTATTTTTACAGAAATAAAAAAAAAAAAAAATTTGTGATGCGGTGATGATGCTCTGCGGCATTATTGACGGTCTAATAGAGGAACTCAAACATGTTTTGTTTGCTGAGTTGATTTTCACTTTGTTTTGGGATTGAGACACTGTGTGACCAGATCTGAGAAATTTGTATAGTTTACCAAGACCCTTATACGTATAATATGTAACATTGTCTACCGTGTCACGTGACGTTACGTGACCGCCGCGGAAGCCTTGGTCACGTGATGCGAGTCTGTTCCATTTAACTGTTTTCTTTAACTAAGGAAGGAAGTTGTCCTCGTGAGCAAGGCGTCTGGCCTCGCAAGACATCGCCTTACGAGGCCAGACGCCTTGACATTGAGAAACACCCCCGGTGATCAGCACAGACTCCGCCCCTTCTCCTCCTCTCCTCCTCTCCTCCAGGCTGCCGATGAGCACAGCTGAACTGAATCCATCTGATGACCCACACCTGGGATAAAAAGGCTGTGTAGGGGTTCAGCTGTCCTCCAGGTCTCGCATTGTTTGAACCCCTTTTTGTTTTGGAGAAGCTTAACAAAAACAAACAAACAAACAAATAAATTAATAAAAATGTGTAAAGAGGGTATTATATGTTGCTTTTAAGCTTAATATATTACCTTTACTTATGACCAATGAGCTGTGATATTCTATATAGATATAGGGTATCAACCTGATTGGTCTTTGAATGTTTAATCAGAAGAATTTGAGATTCTTTGCTTTTCAGGGATCATAACACACTTCGTATTAATTCAGACAGTCAAGTTTATAAAAAGTAAGAAATTTATTTTCTAAACAAATTAAAAACATGACAACTAGTAAACCCTTTATGTGATGGATGAATCTAAGTGGATGGGATGCGAGGTGTGATGATGTGTGAATGTGATGCTATCAGAACCCTCATATCAGTTCTGAGTGGGAGTGAATTTGGTCTGCTATAAGCTAACAAAGTTGGTTCTTATCCAAACCACATCAGACGCAATCATACTGTGTCTACCTCACCCTTTTTGGAGACCCTCTTCGCGGATCAGGAGGTCAGGAAGGTGAGATGACCTCTGGACACCGAGGTTCAGTAGATTAACCGCAGCACCGGCACTCCAGTCCAGAGATGTCACCGGGCACAACAGGTTGGAACTAGTTTGCATCTAGAACAGCTGCTTCTGAGTAGCTGAAGGAGCAAGTTTCTGTGTCGCTGCAGGCAACTTTTGGCTTGTAGAAAGCCTTGATGGTTCAAAGAGTTTTGCTCCGGCTGGCCGGTCCTGAGCTCTGCTCAAACTCACTCAACCCGGGAAGGAATTTTTGTTTTATTAATTTATATTATGATTTACTGACAAATCAGAACCTGACATGTTAAGGAGGTTTTACCAACAAACCTCAGAAACCACATCTTGCTCAGATACAGGAGCTCTGATTTGCGGATCAGAAAATAATGTGTCATGAGATGACTTTAACCATGTGCATGAGTGTGTCCTTATCAAGTCAAATTAAATATTTGGGTCATGTATTTCATTTCATCCTTATTAATTCTAAGCACAGATTAATCAAAACATTAATATTATTATTCATATAACATTTGTTCATTCAACCATATTTATTTAATGATTATTCAACGTATGAGTTGTAAAAGTTCATCTTTCATGGGAGTGTGCAATCCTGCAGTCTTATCAAAAGAGAGCTTTGTTTGGGAACATAGGCTGATATCTTGTCCCCCTGAAATGTCAACATGCACTGCATAATCTTATGGGCTTTAGAAGAGAGAATAGAAACTCCACTCAGATAGTGGAATTATGTCTGTAGGTGACCGGACATTGTGTAGGTCAATTTGTAGGTGAAAATTGACTCTTTGTGGACTCTACAAATGTTAGCTTTGAGATGATCTCCAGGGATCGCGGTAGACTGTTTTAAACAGTTTTGGTGAGGGTATATCCCTCACCATATAATCATCAGATGACCCTGAGACGTTAACATCTTTTGAAGAGTTAGGCTGGCCTGGGAAGATGGCTTGTAACACCTAATTAATTAATTGATTAATTGATTGATTAATTAAAAAAGTGATAGTGTTAAAAGAGAGTTTTCCTCTCCACTGTTGCCACGGTTTGATCTCTTCAGAAGTTACTGAAATTTTAATTTCATTTTCTTCTTGAATTGCTGCCAATTGTGCTTCAGCCACTGTTTTAGTGGGTCTTCTATCTAATGGCTTAGGATTACCGGAGAACATGCTGGAAAGGGCAACATCCTGGCCATTACTAAAACTCTCTGTAGTACAAAAAGGTCCAGATTTATCCTTCGATCTAACAGATTTCCTCTGTCTGTAATAGTGTTGTCAAAAAAATCGATACTAAAAGTGGTATCTAAATTAGATATTCCATCCCTGTGGTATCGATATTATGGACCATTATACACAGCCTTCTTCAAGTACACCGACACGCAAGACAGCCAGATGCCGTAAAGCAGCCTCCGCCTCCCAGACAAACAGAAGAAGAAGAAGACGCCGCATGGCTACATTGCAATTTCCCACGCGAGTTGTCTCCGATCCAAGTTTTGTCTGCCAAATAAATAAACAAAAACATAAACAGCGAATTTGGGAGGCGCTTCACAGCCCAACCTAATTAGCATACCAAGTCCGACATGTAGTTGTATATTCACGCTCATGGGCTTAAAGGAAAACTCCCGCTTATTGCAACCCGGACTTAATTTCTAGCATGCAGTACGTTTGTTTACTCACGCTGACAACTTTGGTGCTACTTGGATTCCCTGGGGTATTTAGATCCATCGGCGAATCGCCATCAGTGTATATCCATATAACGGGTGCGGACGGGCACCCATGGTGCAGCCTCGAAATAAGACATTATCTGCACCAAAACATCTTCATGTCGAAAGGTTTTGTTAGGAATCATTAACGTGATTCCCCCTGTTCGTTTGGAGCGAGTCTGGGATTTCTAGGCGTAAACAGACTAGCTGCGGCTAATTAACCGGCGCTTTTAATGACGTCACTGCCGTGCGCCAATCTGTTTTTATTAAGATTACCGGTAGATGTACCTTTGTCCTACTGTGGAGAAATTCATTTTCTCCCTTTATTGACCAACAGAGTTGTTCAAAAGTACAGAACAAAACATATGGCATTACATCTTATGACAAAAATGCACTTTAAACAGAGTTTAAGCAGCAAAATGTCACGAACTCCTCCAGCTGACTGCATTCCATTCATTCCTGCCACCAACGTGGCGACTGACGTCATCACGCCGACACTACTTAAGGAAGTGCCGGCGTTTCATTCATTGCTCAGTCATCGTTCTCACCAGACTTTGTATCGAGTCTCCAGGCTTACCAGCCCTGAAAACCTTCCAAACTGCACCTTCAGGAGATAACCACGCCGGTTATCTCCGTCTCTCCGCGTCTGGGCAACAGAACTCTCAGTCACGCTTCAGATCTGCCAACGAACCTGACAGGATGACTGAGCCCCAAGTTGACCCAGCGGAGTTCGCGCGTCTGCGTGCCGAAGTGGCTCAACAGCGCGCAACCTTGGATCAGCATACGGCAGAAATGAACCAGCTCCGTGCCATAGCTGATCGCCAAGCCACCAAGATCGAGTCACTCACCGAGCTAGTACTCCAGCTGACCACCGCTCTGCAACGTCAGACCGCAGCTGTTCCTGACAGGATGGAACCACGCCTCAGCCTTCCAGATAAGTGGGACGGAACCAGGGGATCCCCGGAGGGCATGTTGGCGACCCTGGCCATGACTTTCGAGTGCCAGCCGGCACGCTACCCCACATCCTGCTCTCGTGTTGCCCTGCTGACCTCACTGCTGACAGGTCGAGCCGGTGAATGGGCGGCGGCTCTTTACAATCAGAAATCTCCTGCCTGCAATGACTATGAGACTTTTGTAAAGGAGATGAAAGACTTTTGTGCACCCCAGCAGCGAGGTCTCGGACGAGACTCGGCTGCTTCAGCTTCGCCAGGGCTCCCAGACGGCGGCTCAGTACACCTCTCGCTTCCGGACGACAGCTGCTCGGTTGAGGTGGGATGACGCCACCCTAAAGGCCGTTTACCTGGAGGGACTGTCACCGAGAATCTGGGAGAGCATGATCGGGCACGAGGTCCCAACCTCCCTGGACCTGGCAGTGGATCTGGCTCTCCAACTGGACCACTGCATCCTGAACCGGCCGAGCACCATGTCAGCCCCCATACACACCAGGACGTCACCCCGCCGGCCGGCTCACCAACCGACGGAGGAGCCGATGCAGCTGGGACATCTTCCCCCTGAGGAACGGGCACGGCGCTACCAGGAGGGAAGATGCGCTTACTGTGGGGATTTGGGTCACCACCGTGGCACGTGCCCAAAACGACCGGGAAAAGGTTCCTCCGGGTCGGAGTAGGAGCTGTCCCGCCCGGAGTCTCAGCTTTTCCGGCTCCACACCGAACCACTCTCCCGGTCTCCCTCCACCTGGACCAAGGCCCGACCAGACTGGAGGCACTTTTAGACACTGGGGCTGCGGAGTGTTTTATCGATCACGGACTGGTTACTCGGCTCAAGATACCCCTCACCGCCCTCGACCGACCCATTCCCGTGACCTCTGTGGACGGCCGGCCCATCATGCCGTACCCTCTCACCCATCGAACTCAGGGTCTCCACATGACTATTGACCAACACCGGGAGACCCTCCACTTCCTGGTCATCCAGGCTCCGGCTACGCCTCTCATCCTGGGTCATTCCTGGTTCTGCCGCCATGAGCCTCACATCTCCTGGTCCACCAGTAAAGTCCTGGCCTGGGGCACGGGTTGCCATAACCACCGGGACTCCCCTGCACCTCGGACTGGAGCAGCCCCTCCCACAGATGTAGACCTGGCGCTCATCCCTCCTCAATACCACGACCTCGCTCAGGTCTTCGCTAAAGAACCCACTACCAGGTTACCTCCTCACCGACCCTACGACCTGAAGATCAGGCTCCAGCCCGGCACCACCCCCCCTCGGGGTCGCCTGTTCTCCCTCTCTCCGGCGGAAACCCGGGCTATGGACAATTATATAACTGATGCCCTGCAGAAGGGATTAATCCGTCCCTCAACATCCCCCGGGGCCGCAGGGTTTTTCTTTGTTAAGAAGAAGGAGGGGGATCTCCGGCCCTGCATTGACTATCGAGGGTTAAATAAAATAACGATCAGGGACCGTCACCCTCTCCCTCTCATGGGCACCGCTCTGGACGCCATCACACAAGCCGTTGTGTTCACTAAACTGGATCTGCGCAGCGCCTATAACCTTATCCGTATTAAGGAAGGTGAGGAGTGGAAGACCGCTTTTATCACGCCCACTGGCCACTACGAATATTTGGTGATGCCTTTTGGACTCTGCAACAGCCCCGCCGTCTTCCAGCGGTTCATTACAGATGTGCTGAGAGACATGTTGGGTTGCTGGGTCTTTGTCTATCTAGATGGCATCCTCATCTACTCCCGCACTGCTGAAGAGCACATCCGGCATGTTCGAGCTGTTCTGTCCCGCCTCCTGGACCATGGACTTTACTGCAAACTGGAGAAGTGTGCGTTTCACCAGGAGTCCACCTCCTTCCTGGGTTTTACCATCTCCTCCCAGGGCCTGAAGATGGACCCCCAGAAGGTTCAGGCCGTAGCTCAGTGGCCTCTACCCACGACCCTGATGCAGCTGCAAAGCTTCCTGGGTTTCTCGAACTTTTACCGGAGGTTTATACGCAACTTCAGTTCCCTCGCAGCGCCTCTGACCTCACTCTCCAAAACCACCAATCAGCCTCGCCCTTTTCGCCTTACTCCAGAGGCTGTCCGTGCTTTCCATGAGCTGGTCGGACATTTCACTAGGACCTTCCTCCTCCACCCGGACCAGACCCGGCCCTTCGTCGTGGAGGTGGACGCCTCGGATGTGGGAGCGGGGGCCGTTCTCTCGCAACGGGGTCCAGACTCTAAGCTCCACCCATGTGCCTACTTCTCCCGGAAGTTTTCCCCCACACAGCAGAACTACGGGGTCGGCGACAGAGAGCTGCTGGCAATAAAATGGGCGCTGGAGGAATGGAGGCAGTGGCTCCTGGGGACTTCCGATCCCTTTCTGATCTGGACCGACCACCAGAATCTCATTCATCTACAGACTGCCCGCCAGCTCAACCCTCGTCAGGCTCGGTGGGCCCTCTTTTTCGAGCCGTACCACTTCCATATCGCCTACCGGCCCGGCTCCAAGAACCTCAAGGCGGACGCGCTCTCTCGGCGTTTCGCACCAGATGCCGCCCCCCCGGAGCCTCAGACCATTCTACCGACTCAACGCTTCCTGGCCTCCCTCCAATGGCCGTTGGAGCAGTCCATACAGGCGGCACTTCCTGGCGATCCAGCGCCGCCGGAGACCCCACCGAACCGTCTCTACGTTCCCGCCTCTTGCCGGCAAGAGGCGCTCACGTGGGGGCATTGTTCGCGGCTCGCAGGACATCAAGGACAAGCCCGTACCCTCCAGTTCCTCCGTCGGGCTCTCTGGTGGCCGTCCATGAGGAAGGACGTCCGCGAGTTCACAGCTGCATGTGATGTGTGTGCTCGCTCCAAGTCCTCCAACCGACCCGGCGCTGGAGAGTTGCAGCCTCTCCCTGTGCCCAAGCGGTCGTGGTCACACATCGGGCTTGACTTTGTCACGGGACTGCCGGTGGTCGACCACCTGGACACTATATTGACTATCACGGACCGTTTCTCTAAGGCCGTGAACTTAGTGGCCCTGGCCGGCCTCCCCACTGCCAAGAGGACGGCCGAACTGCTCCTGGAACAGGTGGTGCGGCTCCATGGTTTCCCTCAGGACGTGGTTTCCGACCGAGGACCCCAGTTCGTCTCACGCTTCTGGAAAGCGTTCTGTCGCCTGGTCGGTTTTTCCACCAGTCTGTCCTCTGGGTACCATCCGCAGACAAACGGTCAGACAGAGAGAGCTAACCAGCAGCTTGGACGCTACCTGCGCTGCTTCGCTTCGTCCCAGCCGACCACCTGGCCCCGCTTTCTCCTGTGGGCGGAGCTGTCACACAACCTCCAGACCTCCTCTGCCACGAGTCTGTCTCCCTTCGAGACCTGTTACGGGTACCAGCCTCCTCTGTTTGACCATCAGGTGGCCGAGATGGAGGTCCCTGCTGCCCAGACGCTGGTCCGCCGCTGTCGGCTCGCCTGGATCCGGGCCCGTGCGGCCATCACCCGGGCCAACACGGAGTATGCCCGTCAGCATCTCCGCCGCCACCGGCCTGGCCCCGTCTTCCGGTCTGGCGACCAGGTGTGGCTCTCCTCCGCTAACCTGAGGATGCCGGCTGGCTCACGGAAGCTCACACCTCGCTTCCTGGGTCTGTTCCCTGTCCTCAAGGTCATCAATCCAGTCACCTACCGTCTGCGCCTCCCGGCTACTCTCCGGATCCACCCGGTCTTTCACGTCTCCCAGCTTAAGCCGGTGATCTCCTCTCCTCTCCACCCTCCGCCAGTCCGGGTGCCTCCGCCCCGCGGTGTTGAGGCGGATCGCACCTACACGGTCCGCAGGATTCTGGACGCTCGCCGCCGGGGACGAGGTTGGCAGTACCTCGTGGACTGGGTGGGGTACGGACCTGAGGAACGCTCTTGGGAGCCCACAAGCTCGTTTGTCGACCCTACCCTGCTGACTGACTTCTGGGCCCGCCGTCCTGGGACTTCGGGAGCCGTCCCTAGAGGGGGGTGGGGGGTGGGGGTCCTGTCACGAACTCCTCCAGCTGACTGCATTCCATTCATTCCTGCCACCAATGTGGCGACTGACGTCATCACTCCCACACTACTTAAGGAAGTGCCGGCGTTTCATTCATTGCTCAGTCATCGTTCTCACCAGACTTTGTATCGAGTCTCCAGGCTTACCAGCCCTCAAAACCTTCCAAACTACACCTTCAGGAGATAACCACGCCGGTTATCTCCGTCTCTCCGCGTCTGGGCAACAGAACTCTCAGTCACGCTTCAGATCTGCCAACAAACCTGACATTGTCACGATACTAAAATTTCATACTCGATTCGATACTTGAAAAAACCTCGATGCTCGATACTCAATTTCGATACTATTTAAAGACACCAATTTATTGAACAAGTTTATTCAAAAAATAACATTCCTCAATTTATATTGCAAAAATTAAATGTTAAGAATTAAGTGTACTTTACCGAGAATTTATAAAAAACAGAACTACAGAAGCAGAACAAAAGTACAAAAGATATAAAAACAAACTCATAAATATAGTGAGAAGCCGTAAACGTGAATATTTTATTAAAAAGTTAGAGCACAACAGAAACAACATAAAAGGCATCTGGAAAGTATTAAATGGCATAATTAGGAAAGAGACAGGGATTAATATCTATCCACAACATTTTATAGAGAGAAAAATAATATTACAAACATGAATGAAGCAGTGGATGAATTCAACAAATATTTTGTAAGCATACAATCTAAATTGGAGGAAAAAATAATAGTTGATGAGATACAAACGGATGCTACAGAGTATGTTGAAAGAAATAAAAATTCTGTTTTTTTAAGAGCAGTTGATGAGAAGGAGATTTATGATATAGTTAGAAATATGAAGAATAAAACCAGTACAGACTGGAACGATATTGACATGAAAACACTGAAATGTGTGATTGAGGGCATTGTAAAACCATTAACACACATTTGTAATCTTTCTTTTCAAAAGGGAGTTTTTCCGAATAACATGAAAGTAGCAAGGGTAATTCCTATTTACAAGACAGGAGATAAGCATCATTAAACAAATTATAGACCTGTGTCAATACTATCACAATTTTCCAAAATATTAGGAAAGCTGTTTGTTAAAAGATTCAATAATTTCGTTGATCAATATGAGTTGCTGACGGAAAGCCAGTATGGCTTCAGGAATAATAGGTCAACAGTCCAGGCACTGATTGATCTTAATGAGGAAATAACAGAATGCACTGACAAAAAGAAGCATGCAATAGGGTTGTTTTTAGATCTGAAGAAAGCTTTCGATACAGTAAACCATGACGTATTGATGAGAAAAATGGAAAAATGTGGTTTCAGGGGTATAGTATTGGACTGGATAAAAAGTTATTTATCAAATAGACAACAATATGTGCAAATAAATCAACATAAATCAGGACTAAGAGAGATACAATGTGGGGTACCTCAAGGATCAGTCTTAGGACCTAAACTATTCATAATGTACATAAATGACATTTGTAGGGTTTCACAAGTATTGAAGTTTGTATTGTTTGCAGATGACACAAATGTTTTTTGCTCGGGTGTGGAATTGCAACAGGTCCTGGATGTGGTCACACAGGAAATAAATAAATTTAAAAAATGGTTTGATGTAAATAAACTGTCACTAAATTTAGAGAAAACAAAATTTATGTTGTTTGGTAATGAAAGCAGACACAATGAATTAGATATAGTAATTAATAATGTAAAAATTGAGAGAGTATATACACAAAATTTCTTTGGGTGGTCATAGACAGCAGAATCTGTTGGAAGCCACACATCAAATATGTTAGGGGGAGGCTTGCACGGGGCATTGCTATATTGGGGAAAGCTAAGTATATTTTTAATCAGAAAGCACTTTATATATTATACAATATGATACTGCCATATTTGAGCTATTGTGTAGAGGTCTGGGGAAATACGTACAAAAGTAATTTAAAAACAATAACGACAATGCAGAAAAGGGCTATCAGATTAATAACAAATGCAGGATATTTGAATCACACAAATGAACTTTTTATTAAAACGCGGACAATGAAGTTCCAGGACTTGGTTAAATACAAAACAATACAAATAATATAGAGAGTAAGAAATAAATTAATGCCTGATAAAATACAAAAACTGTTCACAGAGAGAGAAGGAGGATATAACCTGAGAGGGACACTAAACTTAAAGATACATAAGTTTAGAACAACATTAAAACAGATGTGTATCACAATAATAGGGGTTAAATTATGGAACAATTTAGAAGAAGAAATCAAAGTAAGTACAAATATAAATGTGTTTAGAATGAATTATAAAAAACATATTCAAGTATATAGTGGAAAATCGATGATTTATGTGGGTGTCCTTTATTCTAAGGGAAAGTAAATTGTACCAATTGTAAAAAGATGTGTTTTTTTTCTTCTTTTTTTGTTTTTTCCATATGGTTTGGTGGTTTTTGGTTTTTTTGGTGACTTGTACCATTTTGTTTGTTTTAATGTAGGTTTTGTGTTAGATTTAGTAAACAAGTAAAAATTACTTGTATAAAGGGGTAGGGACATATAAGTTTCCACTTCAGCCTACTCCTTTTCAAACAGAGAAGAAGAGATGATGATATGTATTTTTTCTGTTTGTGGTATTTTAAAAAAAATATGTATGTTTTCTTTGTTTGAAATAAATAAACTAAACTAAGTGTATAAAGTGCTTAAACCTTTCAAGTATCAGCATTTTTTAAAACGTGCATACAAAAACTGGCGAAAGTTAACACTTTAAATCATGAATTGTCTCACTATATATACACTATTTGCAGAGTGATGTTTTGTGTCACGAACTCCTCCAGCTGACTGCATTCCATTCATTCCTGCTACCAACGTGGCCACTGACGTCATCACGCCGACACTACTTAAGGAAGTGCCGGCGTTTCATTCATTGCTCAGTCATCGTTCTCACCAGACTTTGTATCGAGTCTCCAGGCTTACCAGCCCTGAAAACCTTCCAAACTACACCTTCAGGAGATAACCACGCCGGTTATCTCCGTCTCTCCGCGTCTGGGCAACAGAACTCTCAGTCACGCTTCAGATCTGCCAACGAACCTGTCGTTGGCAGAAGGTGTAGTTTGAAAGGTTTTCAGGGCTGGTAAGCCTGGAGACTCGATACAAAGTCTGGTGAGAACGATGACTGAGCAATGAATGAAACGCCGGCACTTCCTTAAGTAGTGTCGGCGTGACGACGTCAGTCGCCACGTTGGTGGCAGGAATGAATGGAATGCAGTCAGCTGGAGGAGTTCGTGACAGACAACCCTAGTCTGTAACGGCTCGACGAGGAGAGCGCTGACGTTTCATCAAAATATGAAAACAGACGAGTATTGTCTTCTGGTTTTGTCATTTTCTTGTCATCAATTTTATCCAAAGCAAATAATGGTTCTGCTCTATCTTCGCTAAATGCCACATCTTAGGAGTCGACTACAGACCTGACTAAATAGTCCTTGTCGCTGACGTCTGAAGCTAGTGATTTAGCTTCAACGTGCTCTATGGCTTTCTTGATATGCAATAAATACTTAGGTTTGATACCACACTGAGATAAAATCTCAAAATCGTTGCATTCCCATGTACACACACCTGTGTTGGCACCTTTAGTAGCGACAGACTTGTGATAATCCACCTCTTCTGAAACTTTATCGGAAACTAATTTCTCCCGTGGCGCCAGAGACATTTGATTTGTTTTGGTGGCACTTCCATCATGGCTATCATCTTCTGGTATTGCCAAAGTCCTGTGGCCACTTTCAACCAGAGCAAGCGATGGTTCTGCCCCATCCTCACTAAACACCTGAGAACAGGCAGCAAATTCATCATCACTGGCATCTGAAGCTATTGCTTTAGCTTTAACTTCTTCTATAACTTGCTTTATAAGCAACAGATATTTAGGGGCGATGCCACAATCAGACAAAATATCTAAATCGTTGCATTCCCATCCACGTAAGTCTGTGCCGTCCTCTGCAGCAGTGACAGACTTATAATCTTCGACACTCTGTGAAGCTAACAATACGGCTTCATCTTCAGCTGAATTCTCCTGAGACGCCAGAGAAATTTCAGCGTCAGTGACACTTCCATCGAAAGACAAACTTTCATTGATATCGTCCTCTGAATAAAACCAATTCTCATCAATATCGCGGACATCTGACGCTAGTGTCTCAGCTCCAGCGTCATCACTAGAGACGTAAACGTCGTCAGTATAGTCTGAATCTGACGTCTCTGCCCCCTCCCCGCCTAATCCATCCCGTGAAATGACCGACTCCGTTTTAGTAAGTCCCAAAATTTCGTGTAAATACAGAACAACGTCTTGAAAGTTGCTTTCACCAAAAGAAAGCTGCTCAAAATCGTTGTTTTCCTGTCCAAATGAGTCCTGGCCGTGTTCTGACGCTAACAAAACTTCTGTTTCATTCTTAACTAAATTTTCCTGTGACGCCAGAGACATTCCTCTTGTTTCAGCGACACTCGCATCAAAAGAGAGCTTTCTTAAACGATTGTTCTCTGGATCAAACAAATTCATCTCAGTATCACTGAATTTTGAAGCTAATGTCTCGGCTTCGGTCCCTACGAAACGTTTGTGAGAAGCCAGCAGACCTCCAGTATCATCTTCAGAAAAGACGTAAACGTCGTCAGTATAGTCTGAATCTGACGTCTCTGCCTCCTCCCCGCCTAATCCGTCCCGTGAAACGACCGACTCTGTTTTAGTAAGTCCCAACGTTTCCTGTAAATGCAGAACATCGTCTTGAAAGTTGCTTTCACCGAAAGAAAACCGCTCAAAATCGTCGAATCCCTGTTCAAACGACTCTTCGTCGCCCTCTGAAGCAAACAAAACCCTAGTTTCATTATCAACTAAATTTTCCCGTGACGTCAGAGACGTTCCTCTTGTTTCAGCGACATTCGCATCAAAAGAGAACAATTTTAAATGACCATTCTGTGGATCAAACAAACATGTGTCACCATTGCTGTCATCTTGTGCTAGTGACATCTCATCAACAACTGGTCCGAAATTATCCTTTGAAATACAAAAATCCTGCATTTCACATTGATCTAAAGGCAATAACTCAATAACATCCCTCTTTCTAAACAAATTGGTGTCATATTTAGAAGTTTCAGACATGTAATCAGCTCTGCCCATTGAGACTAACAATATTTCTGCTCCATCCTCACCTAATTTCTCCTGTGACGCAATAAATTGTTGAGTTGTTTCAGAGGTGTTTTCATCAGAAGACGATAACTCACAGCTATTGCCCTGTGAGTCAAACGGAGCTATGCTTTCTTCTGAGGTACCAGAAAAATATTCATCACTTTCCTCAAAGGCGTTCTCTGAAAGAGCTAAAATTTGGGATTCGTTTTTCTCAAGACTGTTGTTTGAAGTGATATACATACTTCTGACGGCTTGATGGCTGCTTGTGTAGCTGAAATCCTCTGACTCAACGGCTTCCAGCAGAGGCAAAACTATTTTTCTTTGTCCTTCTGAGTCGATAAGGTGTGTCTCCGTTTCTTGATGTGAGTCATTTCCAGAGTGTTTCGGGATATAAGATGTCTCTCTGTTGCTGTCTGGAGTTTCAGAAATTATCCCGTCATGAGGAATGCATTCGTTTATTTCTCTGTCTAAGTTAGATGTTGCTTGAGAAAGTCTGATGGAAAAGTCAAAATCTGACTGAAGATCATCTAACTCTAGATCTAATCCTTCACTTTCTCGTTCTTCAAAAAAATATTCACAGGTTTTTCTAACTGCTGAATTAATAAAGGTTCCAAAAAGGATGGCTGCTGTTAAGAAAGGCATCTTCTAGGTTCCTCTGTCCGTAGTTTGGTGTCAAGTGAGACTGCTCTCCTTCGTACACTAGTGAGATAGCGCCGCTTTGTGACGTCATCAAAGGAATGCGCGTCAGCATTTACGTCACAATGAAAGCCGTGACGTAAAGCGAGCTGCTGCGTTCCATTAACTCTACAGACCACGCATGACCGCTACCACGCTGACGAGCGGTGGCGGGCAACCAGGAAGTAATAGCAGACTGTTTTTATTTAAACATTTTTTACAAACCTTTATTTACAGTCAGAGCGTTACAATACTTTTCTTGTCACCGTTGTATCTTTGGTTTTCCTGTGCGAAGTTAAAAGCACAACTTTTCTTCCAAAACGCTTGTCAGAGCGGACAATTCAAAAATGTGTTCTTGGCAATATTTATTTAGGCTACACAAAACAGAAAAATGTCTCCCTCTTGTGGTCATATTTTGTAACTGCATGGTCCTCCCCCACCTCCGTCTCGCACTTTTTGATTGGCTAATCCTTTCTACGAGTCCCTAGTAAGGTCAAAAATCATAACATCGATCAAATAAATGCAACAAATTAAATTTTTTTTGCGAAATTAGAAAATGTCAATTTCTATTTTCAAAAATTGATTAAAATCATATAGTTTTCAGTGAAAAACGAAGAGCCGGACAATTTACAATCAATTTCCTGAATTTACAGCTTCGCGTTTTCACTGATAGCGTTAGCATCGCTAGCCTCAGCAGCTTGCAGCGATGGCTGCAGTTATTTTGAGTTTTCCATCTCTGCAGGGTCTGAGGACATTCACACAGTGAGTACATCAGTTTGACTCACAACCGGTGTGTCACAAAACCGAGGGGCTCTGTTCGTTTCTGCTGTTTGCGTGATTTATTTAGAGCTAAGTTTGTATCATGTCTGCGTTGATCCAGATGCTACCCACTCAAATAAGTTTCTGATTTAAAAAATATCTATTAATTGCTCAGAATTATGACTTACATGAAAAATGTTCTCATTTACTCACTTAACCGTTTTTTTTGTTTTGTTTTTTTGGTGGGAAGCAGAATGACCTGAACAAGGTTACGTAGAGAGGAGATTGTTTACCTCGGAGGGCAAATGTTATTCAGCTCTTGTGTTTTTCTTAGCTTCTAACGTAGTTTTCATACGTGATGGGTTGTTGTTTTCTCTCTAGAAAACTGTCATGGCCCAAAAGAGGCGTGAGGCTGCTTTCAGAAGGTGAGTTCAGCAATCAGATCTGATCTCTGCTGGTGGGTCCATACTGAGGAGTTCAGGATCAAGTTTGGTTTGTTTCCTCAAAATCAGAATTAGAGTTGATCGGAAATGGGATGAAAACATGAATGGTGTTCATCACAATTCTCCGGGAAAAATAAAAATCGTCCAAAGTTAGCACTGGCAGTTCAGCGCTGCACAAATTTTTTTTAGTCTGTATAATATGAATAATTTAGAATATAAATTCAAAAGATTTTGTCAGTTTGCTCATTTTTGTAAACTGATGCAAGCATTTTTCAAACCAGCTGAATGTTTAAGTGCTTTCAAACAGACCGATTAGGATCAAACAGAAGGCCTGACCGTCTGTCACGAGAAAACTTGTTTAACTCTTTTTACACGGCAACCTCCGCCAGCTCCACTGGCTGGATCACCAGGCGTTTCCATGCCAACTTGGAGATGTAATCCCTCCAACAAGACCTGGGTCGACATACCTGAAACACGGGAGGTGGGAGTCGTCCATGAGGCCCAAACAGCTGACCCCTCTGGACACGGAGGAGCAGCCGGGTCTCTCTGGAATGTCCGAGCTCCTCACCCTCTCTCTGAGGCTGAGCCCCCCTACGGACAGAGGAAGCTCATTTCAGCTACATGTATTTCTGATCTTGTTATTCCCGTTACTATCCACGGCTCGTGACCAGAAGTGAGGGTTGGGATGAAGATCGCCCCGGTAAATTGAGTGCTTTGCTTTCTATCTTAGCTTCTGCTTCACCACAACTGTCCAGTTCAGCATCTGCATCACTGCAGACGTCGCCCCGGTCCGCACGCCGATCTCCTGCTTTCTCCTTCCTTCTCTCTTGTGAACACGACCTCGAGATACTTGAGGTAGGACTAGGACGTCTCCTCTGACCAGGAGTTGGGAATCTACTCTTTTTCCGGCCAAGAACCACGGCCATGGGTTTGGAGGTGCCGATCTGCATCGTGGACCTCCCCAGCAATCGTTGAAAGTCAACAGAAGCATCCTTAGAAATGACGGAGGACGAGAATCTTGAAAGTTTCAGTTTTGATTTAAAATGTAATTATTGTTGCTGCTGTGGAATCAAATCTGACTTCAGGTCCTTTCTTGTATCTCCGTGTGATGAGCTCAAACGTGAAAGCCACCCTGAGGTCCTTCAAAGCATTTTTAATGAACTCTGCAGAGGTGAGGAGAATCGACAAGGTGTTGATCGCCAACCGAGGAGAGATTGCGTGTCGTGTGATGCGTTCAGCTAAGAAGATGGGCGTTCGCACTGTGGCGGTGTACAGCGACGCCGACAAACACTCTATGCACGTTGCCATGGTGAGACACTCCATCCGTCAGTCTCGTGGCTCTTTTCGTGTGTTTAGCTGTGAGGCAGCTTTTATTCGTTCGTCTGCAGGCAGATGAAGCCTACCACATCGGACCTCCTGCCTCCCAGCAGAGTTACCTCTCGATGAAGAAAGTTTTGGAAGTGGCCAAGAAGTCCGGATCCCACGTGAGTGGGAGGAGATTTTATTTGCTCCATTATTTGGTTTAGTTTTCTTAAAATTGCACATCTTATTAAAAAAAAAAAGATACGTTTTTCAATGTGTGTTTGCAGGCGGTCCATCCGGGCTACGGGTTCCTGTCTGAAAACACGGAGTTTGCAGAAGCGTGCAAGCAGGAGGGAATCATTTTCATTGGACCTCCTTCCTCTGCCATCCGAGACATGGGCATCAAGAGGTGACTCTGCTGCCGCCGACGCTTCTGACGTCATTCCCGCCATCACAAAGACAGTCAGAATATTTGTGCATCTTGGTTTGTTTGCTTTTAGCACTTCCAAACACATCATGTCGGCTGCAGGAGTTCCCATCATAGGTGGTTACCATGGTGAGGACCAATCAAATGAGAGGCTTCAGGCAGAGGCTGCTCAGATCGGATATCCTGTGATGATCAAGGCCGTTCGAGGAGGAGGAGGGAAGGTGGGAGGAAGCAGAAACTAGAAGTCGCGTCAACAGGAAGCTTGAACGAACCACATGTGTTTCAGGGGATGAGAATCGCACGCTCCGAGTCGGAATTCCTGGAGCAGTTGGAGTCTGCGAGACGAGAAGCCAGGAAGTCCTTTAACGATGACGTCATGCTGATTGAGAAGTTTGTGGAGGATCCCAGGTGTTGCAACGCTCACAGTCGGTCCGTTTCACCGGAGGACGTTTTTAAATGGGATTTTCTTTGTAAACATTACTGCAGACACGTGGAGGTCCAGGTGTTTGGGGACATGCACGGGAATGCTGTGTACCTGTTTGAGAGGGACTGCAGCGTCCAGCGGAGACATCAGAAAATCATAGAGGAAGCACCGGGGGTGAGTGACGGGCGCTGCTCAGGTGTTTCGGTTCAAATGCGAATAGCGGCGGAGCTTTTTCTCACGGTCGAACCAAAAATCTTCACCTTGAGTTTACGTTATTATGTTTTATGTTTTCAGCCTGGGATAAGCCCCGAGGTCAGGAGGAAACTCGGAGAGGCAGCTGTCAGAGCAGCGAAGGCTGTGAACTACGTGGGAGCAGGTGAACACACACACACACACACACACACACACACACACACACACACACACACACACACACACACACACACACACACACACACACACACACACACACACACACACACTGAAAGCACAGCTCCTATTGTGACATCTTGACTTATTCCTACAGGGACGGTAGAGTTCATAATGGATGCTCAGCACAACTTTTACTTCATGGAGATGAACACCAGGCTGCAGGTGGAGCACCCCGTCTCTGAGATGATCACCGGCACCGACCTGGTGGAGTGGCAGCTCAGGGTGAGATGGAAGCCGGTGAAACCTGCAAGAAGCTAAAGTCAAAGATTAGTCATGCTCAGTGTTGGGAGTAACGGCGTTACTAACGGCGTTCCTTTTTAGGTAACGGAATAATCTAATTAATTACTTTTCCCGCCGTTGCAACGCCGTTACCGTTACTGGGGACGGAAGGTTGTGCGTTACTATGTGCTTGTCGAACGTGGAGCAACAGTGTGAGGCTTTCTGACCGCCACACTTCAGCTGCAGCCAGGGAGAGAGAGGTGTCGGTAACGCGCTTACAAACACGATGATGATTGGCCGGGTGGGCGGAGACCCTCACGGTCTCAGTCACTGCCTGCTGTAGACACAACAGTGATGGGAATGACGCCGTTTAAAATAACCACAAGCAAACTATTTAATTACCGTCTTCTTTTATCAAAAGAAAAAGCGTGCGTTAAGCAGCGCGGTGTGTTGAAGCTGTCATCAGCTGATCAGGAGCTAAAGAGGTAGATGTTTTCATCCAAGTGCATCACGGTCCTGAAGAACGAGGAAGACGTGATGAATGGTCTACGGCTGCAGGTGTGGATCTGCAGCCGTGCTCTTCTTAGCGTGACAGCGGGACATCCCGAAGGTCCGCTCACTTGTTCACCGCTCAGACGTCCTGATCTTCTACCTTCCTAGATCATCCAGCTGTAACCTGTTCCTGATCATGTCTTTAGTCCCGCTGTAACACATCAGTCTCAGACGTCGTGGAGCTCAGGTGTTATTAGAACTACCTGTGTGTGTTTACCACCCAGCTTCAGCTCTTCTGTGGTTGGGTCTGACCCTAGTTAGTAAATGTACGTCCTCCATCAGGCTTGTGCCTCTTCTAGTGTCATTTTAAATGATTTTATTTATTTATTAAACGTTACTAGATTATCAGCAACAGAAATGCTGCTAAAAACACATAATTATGTGAAGCTGGAAAAATTAAAATGCTGTGCAAAATTACATTCATTTCTGTACTTTAACTAGACTGAGAGACCATCTAAAGGCTCGGGAACCTTTACAGGCGTTTCTATTTGCAATTATAAATTTTAGCTGATTGGGGTATTGTTAAATATCACACAGTGACCTTTTAATAGTCTAGATTAGTGTAATGTTCCTGTTAGTAGTTCCTCCTGTTAAGTGCTTATTTATTTAAATTATGCAGGTTTATAAAAAACATTTTGACATACATTTTATTATGTTCCAGTCATTAGTCATTTATATTTCACTATTGTAGTCATTTATAGTAAGTTAAGTAAGTTTAATTAAGAGGGGAACCCATTTTCTTGCATTCTTTAATCAAAAAAGTAACTAAGTAGTTATTTTTCTTGGTAATTAGTTACTTTTATAATCTCGTAACTCAGTAACTGAGTTACTTTTTTGACAAAGTAATCAGTAACTATAACTACTTACTTTTAAAAAGTAACGTTCCCAACACTGGTCATGCTTAATAAATCGTTTCCTCAGGTGGCAGCAGGGGAGCGCCTGCCTCTCCTCCAGGACCGTATCACCCTTGGGGGCCACTCTTTTGAAGCTCGTATTTACGCCGAGGACCCAAACAACGACTTCCTTCCAGGAGCGGGGCCTCTGCTGCATCTATCCACACCTCCAGCAGAGAAGCACACACGCATAGAAACGGGAGTCAGAGAAGGTGGGGAATGAACCGAGCTCTCGACATGTGTCCCATCATGCCACAAAGAAGAGGAGGCAGAAACACTCTTGTTCTTGAGCGAAAACACAGATAAAGTTGGAAGCGGTCCTAGAATTCCAAACCACACCTACCTTATTGTTGAGTCGGTGCTGTCTCTGACCTTGTTTCCCCCGTAAATGACTAATGTTGTAATGATGATGGAGAAACGCGTCATAATCCTGACACACACCCTTAAATCTGCATGTCCACACCCACTTGAGCAATATATTAATGTTGGTGGCAGTAATGTTAACCACAGAACAACGTTGGTCAAAACTACTGCTAATGCTTCCCCAAGCTCCCGCTAATGTTATCCCATTGTCACAAACCAGCCAGAGAGGCACTGCTGATGGCTCTGAAAACTCCCATTTTATTTTGGAAAAGCTTCAAAAATAACATGAACTTAACCTAATAAATATATCCATGTAAAATCAGGATGTCGCCTGAGACAAGACTAGTCAGAATGCTATGCTACCACAAATGATATCTCAAGCTACCGCTAACACTATCCGATACTGCCACTAACCCTAACCAGAGCTACCGCTAACGCTATCCCATACTACCACAAACCCTAACCAGAGCTACCGCTAATGCTATCCCATACTACCACAAACCCTAACCAGAGCTACCGCTAATGCTATCCCCTACTACCACTAATGATAGCCCATGCTACCACTAACCCTAACCAGAGCTACCGCTAACGCTATCCCATACTACCACAAACCCTAACCAGAGCTACCGCTAATGCTATCTCATACTACCACTAATGATAGCCCATGCTACCACTAACCCTAACCAGAGCTACCACTAATGATAGCCCATACTACCACTAACCCTAACCAGAGCTACCGCTAATGCTATCTCATACTACCACTAATGATAGCCCATGCTACCACTAACCCTAACCAGAGCTACCGCTAACACTATCCCATACTACCACTAACCCTAACCAGAGCTACCGCTAATGCTATCCCCTACTACCACTAATGATAGCCCATACTACCACTAACCCTAACCAGAGCTAATGCTATCCCATACTACCACTAATGATAGCCCATGCTACCACTAACCCTAACCAGAGCTACCGCTAATGCTATCCCATGCTACCACTATCGATAGCCCATGCTACCTCTAATACCATCCTGAACTTCCGCTAATAGTATCCCATAGTACAACTAACGCTATCCCATGCTACCACTTATGCTATCCCGAGCTACCATTAACACTAGCCTGAGCTACTGCTACCGTCCTTGTAGGACAAAGAATATCAGAGCTCACATGCAACATTCCAGGATATTCCGGGAATATCCAGACTATGAAGGAGTTTCCTATCGACACGGCTGCAGTTTCTAGCTTCAGGCAGCCTCATAGAACCATTTCAGTAAAATCAGCTGACTAATATGTTAATGTTTTATGTTTATTCACTTGGCAGACGTTTTTATCCAAAGCGACCTACAATTGCTGACCTATAGGGCATGTTGTGATCTGTGGGGCAAACCGGAGTATCTGGAGGAAACCACGAGAACACGCAACTCCACGCAGAAAGGCCGCAGCTGAGTTTCTAACCTGCAACCCTCTTGCTGCGAGGCAACAGTGCTAACAACTGTGCCATCATGCAGCCCTATTCATTCATATTCATGCCCTGGCCAAGTGGGCGGGGCAAACCGGTCTTTTCGTAGCAAAGCTTGATGTTATGGTTGTGTTTGGCCATTAATCAGGACTCAAGGATCATTTTCATCTCCCAACAAGGTTTCATCTGCTGTACAGAGGCTCAAAATTCAGTTTCCAATTGTAAATAAAGTTGTTCTAGGACCTCTTTAAAACCCTAGCATTACTGCTGTGTTTGGTCACAGGGGATGAGGTGTCTGCTCATTATGACCCAATGATTGCCAAGCTTGTGGTGTGGGGGGAAGACCGACCTGCTGCCTTAAAGAAACTGCGGTATTGTTTACGACAATATAACGTAAGACGCATCCCGATTTTCCTTTGATATGTTTTAACTCCGGTCTTTAAAAAGGTTCAACCTATGTCTGGTTTTGTGGCTCCTTCAGATCGTGGGTCTAAACACCAACATAGACTTCCTGCTGAGTCTCTCAGGCCACCCGGAGTTTGAGGCTGGAAACGTGAGCACCAGTTTCATCCCTCAGCACTACGCCGATCTCTTCCCCGCCCCGAGAGCGCCATCTGGGGCCACGATCTGCCAGGCTGCCCTGGGTCTGGTGCTGCAGGAGAGGAAACACACACAGGAGTTCATACAGACCACCACAGGTTCGACCAGAGGGCCGATAACTACTGATGGTGGTGGATTTAGGTAGAAATGTGTGTTTTATAAACTTGGTTTGTCCCTCAGATCCTTTCTCCCCGTTTGGTTCCAGCAGCGGCTGGAGGAGCAACATCGAGTTTAACAGGAATCTTACCTTACAGCTGGGAGACAAGAGTAAGTGACACACACACACACACACACACGCACACACGCACGCGCGCACACACACACACACACAGAGCTGGGAGACAAGAGTAAGTGATACGCACACACACACACACACACACACACACACACACACACACACACACACACACACACACACACACACACACACACACACACACACACAGCTGGGAGACAAGAGTAAGTGACACACGCACACACACTCTCACACACACACACACACACACACACACACACACACACACACACACACACACAGCTGGGAGACAAGAGTAAGTGACACGCACACACACACACACACACACACACACACACACACCATGGCTACTTGTACTGGTGTAACTTCAAAACGGTTTTTACTTACAGAAGTCTGCGTCGTCATCACTTATAACTCAGATGGAAGCTACAGGATGCAGGTGAGCTCCATAAACTCTATTTTTCTTTATAATATGGAGGAATGACTCAGGAGGACTCTCCTGCTTCGCTCTTCCAGGTTGGTGAGGAGGTCTACCAGGTATCAGGGGAGGTGGAGGTGGAAGGTGGAGCTTCGTTCTTGCACTGCTCGGTAAACGGAGTGAAGTCTCGTCCCAAACTGGTGATCCTGGACAACACGGTGCACCTCTTCTCTATGGTGGGTTTCCACCGTGCATCGTTATAAATAAAAAAAATACACGATTTTTAAATTCAAATGAAGCAGCGGTGTTTCCTCGAGGACTACTTCCTGTTTGACTCCTGGAATTAAACCAGGAAGGGATCTGTTTGAGATCCCGAACGTAAAAGACACAATCTTGAGTCTTGTTTAAACATCTGGATCATCTGTAAGACCAAGTTCACTGAGAAACAGTTTTTTAGTTATCTTTTAAAAGTGATCCGTCACCCGGAGTTTCACATGCAGGCCAAATGAGAAAATTACCTTCCAACGCTATTTCCTGCATCAGCTGTGGGTAGAAAATAGACGGGGTAATGCTCAGATCACATGGTCTCTAACAGCTGTGAACTCACCCACCCTGCCTCAGACGGGGAAGGCTGTTGTTGGTTTAGTGTCCAGGAAACGGCAGACGACGTAGCAGCTGATGTTAGCATTAGCTACTCCACCACACAGCAGAACTCCTCCAGGCTTGTGTTATTTGTGGAGATAAAACATCAGCGTAGCAGAGCAAACTGAGTCAGTGGTCACTTTGCTGTTGGCCAATCAGAGACGATTGTCAAGTCCTCTCCTCTGAAGCGCCAGAGCTTTTTTCACCACAGAGGTCGACTCACAAGGCATTTGTTTATTCTAGAGACCTCTACCAAAGTGTTAAAAATACGAGTGAACTTGGTCTTTAAAGTCTGTTCGTTTCTTTGGAATAGGAGGGCAGCTACCAGGTGTCTGTCCCCGTGCCGAAGCATCTAGCTGGTGTGAGCAGCTCGGCCGCTCAGGGTGGAGCTGTGGCCCCCATGACTGGAACCATCGAGAAGGTGAATTTCACTCCCATCTACAGGCATAAATAATTCCCAGAGCTTTAAAGGGACTTTACGGAGTTTTGAATTTTTATGCTCGCGATTGCCCCCTCAGGCCAAAAGCGTAACGGCAGCTTCAATAGTAGGCTCGTGCACGAGGCGTGCATGCTTTACGTGCACACTCCTTAACGAAAATAACAGCTGACAGTCCCGTGTGTGTGTGTGTGTGGGGGGGGGAGGAGGACAGGAGAACACGCAGCTAATTAATTAAATAATTTGGTTCTGTACCTTTCTCTTCAGCACAGCCGACAAAGGTTTAAGATGGGTCAGTCCTCCTGCATGCTCAGATCATTCCCTTCTCTTGCTTGAAAAATTGTTCCAAAATGAAAGTTGAACCCACATCTTTTTTATCTGTGAATTCAATGCCGTTCGGCGAGTCTCAAATAAAAATGTGGGCATCTTACTGTAAAAAAATATACCATTAATGTAAAAAATAAACTCTAAATGAACTATGTTCACATCCAGAATCAAACCCAGGCCTTCTGCACGAGTCCGACATCTTACTAGGTGAGCTAAAGTGCCAGTGATGTCCTTTGTATCTGTAACATTTATATCCTTGATGACAGCTGAAACAACATTCAAAGAACGGTTCGGAGCGAAAATGGCTATTTTGTTGCTAATTTGCAGGAAATATCTAGAAGAAAGTTCTACAGAAAGTAGCTAAGGGTCCTCAGAAATGTAGCTAGGTTCATCACTAGACGTTAGGAACAGCTAAAGCTACTGATAGCAAATGCTACGGGCTATGCCTGAGCGTGAACGCGCATGAAGCAGCCTGCTCGACCCGAGCATCTCTCTTTTTCTGAGATTTTACAGAAAAACAGGCAATCACAGTAAAAATGCCAGGGCTCATTCTACAGGACCAGGGCATTGCAGGAGAATGTATGAAGAAGACATTTATTATTTCTATACATGTTTGGCTGTCAAACTTCCATAATGCCCCTTTAATAAAGGTTTCAGACATCCAGGCAGTCAGAGGCCGTTTACTCCACAGATTAAAGAGCAGTTATGATTATTTTGGAGTAGAGAACAAAGTTAATTCTGTTACTGAGCTGCTCTGCAAGCCAGTAACCAGTGATTTCATGACCTGCACCTCAGTGTCTCTGATCAGAACAAATCAAACACTTGGATGATTTCCTCCAGAGGATCAAAACATTTACAGTCTGTTTTTGTTTTAATGCAAAAAAAAAAAAAAAAAAAAAGATTTTCTTGTGGAACAAATCCTAAAAACTGTTGTCCGACACTGATGGAAACAGTGACTCGTGGGATTCTCGTCTGATCTTTAATGTCGTTTTTGGCCTCCTCTGCTGGCTGAGCGTGCGATGAGATCCAAACAACCCAATGTTTTTTTGAGTGAAGCTCTTTAAAGGAGCTGCTCTTTGTGCTCAGGTGTTGGTGAAAGCTGGAGATCAAGTGGCTGCCGGCGACCCGCTGATGGTCATGATCGCCATGAAGATGGAGGTGAGAGACGCGCCCTGACCGTTTCGCTCCGCCGCTCTCCGGTGAGGGTGTAATAAAGCTGATTGTTGTCTCTGCAGCACACGATCCGAGCTCCGAAGTCGGGCGTGATAAAGAAGGTTTTCTTCAGCGAGGGCGCTCAGGCCAACCGGCACGCTGCTCTGGTCGAACTGGAGGAGGAGGAGGGGGAAGGGGGCAGCCAGTAAAGACATCCTGTAAGAGTTTGGGTCAGTCTGGAACAAAACCTGAATCTACTTTTGTGACGGTGTGACGAATTACAGGAACTCCTGTGCAGGATTAATCTGTCTGAACTCCCTAAACGCCCATATAAGGAATTAGAGCTACATTTGCAGCTGGATGCGCAGATGTATCGTAGCTTCAGCATTAAAAAAGATCCCAGTCATTTTCTAAATGTATTTTTTGCAGTTCGTGCTTTTTGCTTCTGCAGCTGCAAACATTTTTATAACATAATAAACACACGTGTGACACGTGGTCTGCACCGGTTATATCCGGTTCTGCACTAGTACTGCATATGTCCACTGATTCCTCCAAAAGGAGCCAAGACACAAAACCCTGGTTTCATTTGAACATTGCACTAAATGTCAGACTCCAGCTCTGCACACAAACATGTTTTCCTCCTGTGAACCAAGATCTTTATCTTTCAGTCACTTGTCTCCAGACTGACACCAAACTCCTTCTTTTCAGTGTGATGTGGCGGTTGGATCATCAGAAACACTCCAGTCGTTTTTTGTCTGAAGAAATCTTATGTGGGATTTTTGTAGCCGGGCGATCACCAACTCGCTGCTGCAGCAGCTTCAGCAGATCGACCCTAACCCGGAGCTACGAGGCCTTTTAGACTAAACTGCTTTAGTTTCCTGATTATTTGTAAAAGATGAAATAAAAAAGCTAATATTAAAAACTGTAATAAAGGTTTTAGACGATACTCAGCCCGTTTGTCATTTATCAGCTTCACGTCTTCATGTTTTCTTGCAGTTTTCGTCAAACTAAAATGAGAAGTTGTTTTTTTAAGCTTTTGGGAAAGTTGAAGGCAGCTACTGACTGGATTAAAGGCTTACTGGTGACGTCCGGTCTCCGTTTGTAGCGACATGAATGGCTTCATTTGTGACCCAAAGGCCACACTTCCCCAGCTGGGTCATGCTGTCCTGGCTGAACTTCTATCCACGGATTATCCATCACAGGAGACATAAAGTCTGCTAAACCATCTTTAATCTGACTGCCTTTTATCTGTCTGCTGTTCCATCCCAAGACGAAGGACACTTCAAGATTTAAAATAATCATTTTTAATAAACTTACTGTTTATTACAAGGTTCATAAATACTCATCATAATCATCATGGTTCTTTATAAATGTATTTAATTACTGAAATGACTTATTATTCTTTGGTTAATAATTATGATAATCAGTAATGTTTGATCAGTAACCAGAACATCATGTACATTTATACACACCATGCAGGACGCTGAATTCAGGTTAAAGGTAACTTGCTCTCATGTCTTTGCTCCATAACCAAAGCTTTCTATCTCTGAGAGGGCGTGTCCTGAGGTTTTGTTAAAACCTAAACTCCTCAGTTCAAGCTGACAGTTCTGAACCAACCAAAATCTCTCCGTGGAACGAGCGTCCCAGAGGATAAGGGTCGGCCGCCCGAAGCCTCACTAAACTGTTCTGTCACGCCGCCTGCCACCAGCTGAAGCAAAACTCCTTCAGAGTTATTGATTTTTGAGACGCAACTAGTTTCATCAGTCGTCGTGACCTACGGAGACATCTCAGGACCAATTTGGTCGCACCAAGGTCCTTCTACCCACCTCGTGCTTGGGGTTCGTCATCCCACCTGACATCTCGGATCCAGAAGAGGGTCTCCTAACTGGGTGAGGTAGACACTTCTGACAGATTGCATCCGTATGCTGTTATCTCTAAGAAACAACTTAGCTGCAAAACAACGAGTTTTCTCTCTCTGAAAGAAACCGGAGATTCCATTCACGCATCCAAACACACGCATTTCATTTTAGTTTTCACCCCGACACAGGTTTGCTTTTAATGCCAAGTTTTAATAACAAAGCTGTTATAAATTGTAATTTTTAAATTGTTTTTTTTATTGTCATCTTTAAAGTGTTAGTAATACATTTTTAACTTTTTAAACCTGACTCTTCTTTGAAATGAAACACAGAATGGTGTATATTTGGTTATTGAACAAGCAAAGAGTCCTTTAGGTCTTCTGATTTAATAAATAAACTTTTGCTATTAATTTAAATATAAATGAAATATTAATCTTTGGATTAAATATAGAGCAAGCCCGTTGGTGTATGAACTTCTATCGATTACATAAATATCCTGGATATTTATACATGATATAAGCTTCATTTGCTAATTTGTTTGATCTTTCTCAAAATCTACCAAAGCTGAATAGCAACAGCGTTAAATCTTGGTTATGTAGATAATCTACGCTACACGTTACCACGGTAATGTGCATTGTGAAATCTTAAGTCAGATTATTGGGCCGCTAGGAGGAAAACACCCTTTTCAGTTGCATATTTCAGCAGAAAGTGATGCCACCATTGCAACTTTAAGAGCTTGAACACAAATTGTATTTAAATTAATTTTAGAATATTCTGATTTAGTAAAAAAATAAACATGGTGGCATAATTTCATAACTGAAACATTTTTTTTTATTAATCAAAATAAAAGCTTACAGGTTACTGAAAAGGTCATTCCAGCTTTGACACTTATTTCTAAAGTTCGCTGCCTGATGTGGAATCTAGAAATGTAATCTGGATTAAAAGCAACACGTCTGTCCTGATGTTGGGCCACACCCTCCCAACACATCGGGATTTAAGTAAATGAGCTCCAAAGACACAAAGTCTGGTAAAAATGAATTTATTTCATAAATAGAACCTTTATAAGACAGATCTGCAGACAGGAAGAGGACAGACACGGTATCAGACATCAGTCAACAGAAGAGTGATGGTTGGAGGATGTCTCGTGTCTCATGGTGAGACGCCACAGGACATCGCGCTGCACAAAATCGAAAGAGCTGACATTTTAGTTTCAAATCCTTCAAGGAAACCTTCGTTTGATCTTTGTAATAAATAAATCAAGCGTCAGACAGCAGGAGAGGTCAGCGGTTGGTATTTGTACTAATGAAGGGCAGCATCAGGACCAGTTGGAGCCCTGAGGAGGGACACGTGACCTTTGACCAGCAGACGGCGTCTTCAACAGCAGGAACACGCAGACAGACAAGAGGGGCTGTGATGTCTCTTAATAAGGCATCCAATTAAATTAGGACGGTGCTTCTGAGGGACACAATAATGAAGGGTTGGGGGGGGGGGGGGGGGCAAGATGAAATATTAAATCACAATCTGAGTTAGGCGGCTGAATAATCTGCTGCTTCCAAGTGAATTAGAAATGAAATCCCCTCGGCTGCAGCTGCCGACGGGTCTCGGGTGACGCTTTAGGGAAACGGACATAAAACCACTTCACAGGGCTGTCATGTTCATCCTGAATTTGGTTTAGCCACTGATGTCGTTATACTTGTGGAACCAAAATGAGCCAAAGAGTTGGTTTTTAGCACCTTTTAGTGCAGTTTGTCTACGGAGTAAACCACGAGGAGGCATCAGATCTGCTCCGCCTCAGCTCCGATTGTTACGCAGAACCTCAGCAGACACACCGACCGCCTGGAAAACTCAGATTAGAAATAAAATGTGTGTTCTGGGCCCCCTTAAGGGGGGAACTCTGGTTCCAGAGGATAGAGAGGGGGGTATTCATAAGTAGTTTCAGCTCATTAAGCAACAATGAGCAGCTAATGTCCCATATTCCAGTCAGAAATGACAAATCTCCTTGGATGAGAAGCTAAACAGTCTTCAAGAAACCAAAGAAGTGCAGCTGCTGGTTCATCTGAACCCTTCTGGATGACCACGACCTGGATGAAGGAGAACCTTCACCAGCTTGTTGCAGAAACTATTTCAGCTGGTTTGGCTTTTGCATGACTCGAGGAAGTGGACTAACTTAAAAACATGCTAATGACCTCAACCCCAGGAGAATTACAGGCTGTGTCTTCAGGTCCTACTATGTGTGTTTAATGGAGACCAGGTTGAGGAGCTGATTTAACTTCATATTTCTGGAGTTTATTCATGAAGCTACCAGAGTCTCTGAGAAGTAAAAGAGCTGAGCCCACTCTTGCAGCCCTCTTATTGACGGATAGCTAATCAGGATCAGTTTGATCCTTCTGTTGATGGTTTTTTTGACCAACATAATTCTGTGAACTGTGTCAGATTAACTCACCAGACTCAGAAAAATGTGCTGTACAGCTCAAATGATCCCATTAGACTTATTCCTTTTCTGCTTCAATGCAGCTTTACTCAACACCAAGAAGGCGATGATGGATGGAAGCAGTGCTCCTACATTTCCCATGATGCAGCTCACTCACAGCTGGAGCTGTTAGCAACATATTCTCCACAGAACCAGGACCCTAGAGTGGAACTTCACTTTTTAATTCAAACTTAATTCGACAAGGAAATCCTTTAGACTTTTACCAAATGTTGTGGTTTTTGTTTCTCAGATCCAGAAACACTCCGCCGCATCGAGGCAGCTCGGTAAACACTTCTGAATAAATGCTTTCAGACATCTGGTGACGACGTGTGGATGGATAGATTTATATTCAAGAGAATCTGAACACACAGCAAAGTACAGCCATAACAAACACACACACTCCCTCGGTTAGTTGCATTTGTTTGACGGAGGAACAACGTTAACAGAACAGAGACTAAACAAAAATCTGGAGCTGCTGAGAAAACCTCAGACGTCACATCCTTCCGCCTGTACTCGAGTTTAAAACGATGTCTTAAATCGACGTTTCACTGCGGGATTCTTCTAAAAGGTGGAGCTGACCTGAGATCTGTAGGCTGCATGAGAACACGGTTACTCCAACCAACATGCCTGCCGTACGCGCACACACACACACACACACACACACACACACACACACACACACACACACACACACACACACACACACACACACACACAATGTAACAGCAAAAAGAACTTAAATGTCTGATGACAGATGATGATGATGATGATGATGACAGAGAGGACATGACGTGTGCAAACGCTCTGCTGCTGAAAGTGAATTAGCTTCATCTTCTGACCACGAAACATTCTTCTGTCTGGGTCGACGGACACCAGCCGACGTTTGTAACAGCTTCTCATCATCACAGCCGCTTCTGTTCAACTGAAACCAAACGGAACCTTAAGGCAGTGGTTCCCAACCTGGGGTCCGTGACCCCCAAGGGGGCCCCCACAATTTAGTCTATGCTGAATTTGTGAGGTTACCAAGATTTGTAAAAACTACATTTATAAAATCCCACACACCCAATAGCGTGATTGAAGCTCTGTATAAGTTACAACTTTGTTTTCTGTACGTATGCGAGTAGGAGTTGTGGTTGGGGGTCCTGGCCTTTACTGGACACATGGAAAAGGGGACCTCAAGGAACAAAGATTGGGAACCACTGCCTTAAGGGACAGCATCAGAACCGCTGAGACGTCCCAACGAGACACATCCGGTAGATGTTTGTGCGTGGATGCCTGGTCTGTGACGCCGAGAGGCTTTAGGTCATCAGGCTGACGGGGAAAACGAAAAACCGTCACCATTTATTATAATTCATCACATAAACCCTTCAAACGTATGGCTTTTAGAAGATCTGGCCTTTCAGAGCCCAGGGAGGCAGGGGTCTGGACAGGGAGACGAACACAAAGTCTTCTTAATGTTATAAGCTTCTGTGCAACCAGGCACAAAAATGCACGCTTTGGTTTTTGGTAGCGCTGTAGAGGAAGCTCCAAACGCAGCTCGGAGGGAGCCCGGCCAAGGACGCTACAGGGCTGTGGGAGCGGACGGCTCGGAGACAGCCGCTGGCTTCAAGTGCTACAAAAATCTTCTTTTTCTCTTCATTCCTTCTAGTTTAACCGTACGGTCCTACGCTCCAACAGAGTAGCGCTAGCTAACATCTGAACAAATGTACTTAGCTCTTCCTTCTGCCCAATGCAAACAAAATCAAATACAAAAGTTTGGCAGCTGACCTCAGATAAATAAATAGCTCTTTATTTAAATGTTAAACGTTTATAGGATGGCTCCAGAGCCAGCCAGGCTGATTCCTGTTGGTTACTTCCACGTTGCACCTCCCCGATCAACTTCTTCTCATCTTCTTGGCCCTTTTAAAGAAAGCTGGACTCGTCACAGAAGAGAGGGGACGGATAAAGACGGATGCAGCACTGGTCCGAGTCCTTAAGCTCCTTAACTTCCATCATGGCTGCATCCAGTGGAGAATGCACAGAGTTTAAAGTGAAGTAGCTGAGGTGGGACTGCAGTTCCTGACAGAGTGGTCGTGCGCCGCCGGGCAGGTGTGTGTGTGTGTGTGTGTTTACATCTGCAGCCCGGGGAGTCAGCAGTGGGTGGACTCGATGGGCGACAGCGTCAGGATGCTGCGATCATTGGAGTAGAAGGTCTCTGTGTCGCTCCAAGACCTAAAAACAGCAGTGACTGAGGGTTAGGAGCCTGACGCAGCACAAGCGTGTGTGTGTGTGTGTGTGTGTGTGTGTCACTAAAAAGAAACATGATACCAATAAATCAATGAAGATGGAAAGGATGAATGCGTGAGGAGTTAGTGATGAGTACCAGAAGTCTCTCCTCATGAACTCGGACACGGGACCTTATTGGACAGATTTTAGCCAATGACAATGACACTAATGACTTTACACCCCCCGTGCATCATTCACCCATTCACACACACACCCATTCATTCACACACAGCGATGGCGATGAGCTACAATGTAGCCACAGCTGCTCTGAGGCACACTGACAGAGGTGAGGCTGGTCCCTCCGACAACCACCAGCAGGCAAGGCGGGTTAAGTGTCTTGCCCAAGGACACAACAGCAGAGTTTTCTGTCCGGAGCCGGGATCGAACCTGCAACCTTCCGATTACTGGACCACCCGCTCTACCTGTTCAGCTACTGCTGCTAATGTGATCTTATGCTCCAGATTGTGTTTTCCTCTCATTTCAGCTGACAGGAGGGAAAATTAAATGTGTTTTATGATGAACGACAGCAGGGACGGAGTAAGCGGCAGAAAGCTTTTATGCAGCTGAAAACTCCTCACTCCTCCTCGTCAGAGCTGGATGGATGGGTGACCGAGTGAGGAGGAAGGAAACAAAAGCCTTTCATCACACCAGACACTCCTACGGCACCCAGGGCCTGGAGTTCCTAATCCGACTCCAGCTATGAGCCTTTCATAACCACTGTCCTCCTGCAGGTGGATTAAATACCCTAAAAACCAATAAGTGATACATTTTTACCAGATTATCATATATTATAATCCCACTGACTGACCTATGTCCCATTTCACATTTACAGTCCGGTACACTGACAAAGGCACAGTCCTTTCCTGTTATTAGCTCATCCAGCTGGCTCTCTCTTGGAAAAATCAAACCAAAAATACAGATTTTAAACACAATTTTGTGCAAAGATCCCAGATTCTGAATGTGTTTTTTTTTTTTATTTTAAACCAGAGAAGAAAAAACTGTCAGTTTACCCCGCATCTTAGCGAAGCGAGCGTGTGTGGCTGCTCCTGGTTTTTCACACAGGTGTCGCACGTTTGAGCTCAGCTTGACACACTCAACTATTCTTAATGGAAAATATAACAAAAGGAAAGTTCATAAACTTCAGACTTGTTGCATTTATCACCTGAAACTCGTCCTACGAATGTCTAAACGTCAGCCTGTCTGCTCTGAAAGGTTCCCACGACCTTTTCGGCTTTCTAAATCCAAGGCGACCGTTTTAAGACCTGCTGAATACAAACATGGCCGCCCAGCCGCTTTAGATGGGTTAGTGACTCAAACGGCTCGTATACCATCGTGTGTGTGTGTCGCTAAACACTCCAGAAACCCTCTTTACTGCTCAGATTATGACGCACCTTGAAGAAAGAACAGAACGGGCTGATTTCTGACCAGATGGAGCTCACAGAGGACGACACATGAATAACTAATCAGGAACACTGAAGAGCATTATGCAGGTTTAAGACACAGAAGGACAAAGACACACAGGAGGGGAAGTGTGTGTGTGTGTGTGTGTGTGTGAGGGGAATGATTACACAGGTACATTGTATACAAAATACAAAGACAGCAGCAGTCCCCATGCAACATCACAGATGGCGCGTTCTTAAGTAGCAGAGGAGTTACTGTTCTCCAGACTCCACCCCGATGGAGCACCAAGAGTTATAAAACAAGTGCGCCCTTTAGCGTTAGCCTCTTCTCAGAAGCTCGTATAAGGCTTCAGGATCTAGTAGAAAACGGTTAGTAGATACAGGAAACACAGAGACTACACATCCCAGCGGCCTAACTGGTGAGAGGTGTGGTTTCCTTGTTCTTAGAGGCGGAGATGTACAGAGATGCAGCTACCTTTAACTATTATTGTTGTTTTTAGCAAAGCTAAGCCTTAAACCCTCAGGTGAGACTCCTCCAGCTGGAACCAAATCTGTTCTGGGGTAAAGATGAGGAGCGCCTCTTCGTTTAGGATGTCAGAACACACACACATCTTTACATGGTGTGTGTTCAGCTGTGTGACCCTCCAGCTCCGGTTCAGCGGTGGCAGCCGTTCAACGCTGCGACAAGCACAGGCAAGCAGCCAATTCCAGCTGGCTTCCATTAGATGCAGAATAAATGCGTAAGATTTCATCTACGCGGCCCGTCACAGGAGCGGGTCGTCACCCTTTTCTCTACGGCAGCATCACAGCATTAAGGCCAGATGTGGGCGGAGCCACGACACTAACAGCTTTTATTCACTCAAAACAAAAGTTTGCTGGGTATTTATCACCTCGCCTTCTGCACCAAGTCTGGAAACCAGAGTGGAGAAAAAAATCACAGCTTCAGCCCGGATTATAGTTCTCCACCCCCCCACCCCACGTTCTGTGATGTGGCCATTTTCTTTATCCAATGGGAAGGAGGGGTGTTGTACAAATCAGTTGACTGGTAAAAAAAAAAAAAAAAAAATCCAATTTAAAGCTTTGTGCCCGGGTCAGAGACCAGATCAGTCACCCCCACAGGAAGTCATTCATCTGAATGAAAACCTGCATTTAGCAGAAATCTCACTGTGAAGGTTTGTTTTTCTTTAATCCGCTGGAGCATTTAGCCTAATTTCACCAGTAAAATCCCGCACACCACCTGCTTTTTTACTGGAAACTAAACCAGTCCCTCCGAGACGTCGAGAGGACGGCGTGATGGCTTTCATTTCACCTGCACGCCGTCGTTACCTACAGACTGTTGCCTTGACGGCACACACTCAAGAAACAGGAAAAAAGAAACGTGTGCCAACAAAGAACAAAGATGCTACATCTTCATTCCCCCATCCAATCAATGTTGAGCATCCCAAGATGTTTTGAGAAGCATTGACTGGTCAGCAGAAAGGGGGCCGATCAGGTCAATTAATCAATGACCCCACAGGGCCGCTGGGATTCAGGTAGAGACACAATACCAGAAAGTGCAGACGGGGCAAAGCAGCAAACTGTGGGCTCAGCTTCCCGTCTGCACCGGGCTAAGAGCTCTCGGAGAAAAAAAACAAATAAATCCGTTTCAGAAATTTCTCACAAAGTGGACTCTTGGCACCGAAGAATCGACACCTGCTCAGACGCCACTTTGTGCATTAAAAAGAATTTGTTTTATTACTGTGAAATAAAGCGGCAGGGCTCCGAATCCTAATGTTGCCTCGTGCAGCTTTGGTTTTCTAAAGCTCTTCATTTACTACGTGATCCTTGAGCGTACTTGGTTGGACGTCTGCGATGCGACCAGCCGACCGTCTGACTGTAAGCAGAGTCTTCCTCACTTGAAGACACATTCCAGTTTGGCGTTAAAGTGCTTGAGGAGTCTAAAGACATCAAACGTTCGATACAAGAGAACAGAGACAATCAGGACGGACAGATCACCGCGCGTGACGGAGACACGGAGACAACACAGACACGACGGACAAGTGGAGCGTTGGGTGCATGTACAGTAGATGCACTCATCAGCGACGAGACTCACAAAAATAAATAAATAAAGACCTCCACACCCTGACAGATGAACCACAACCATCACAGTCTACTAGGTTGTTGGTTTGAATGCATATCTGACAGCAGGCTCCTGCACGTGTGAGCTAAAGCACAGTTATTCATGCCGTAACTTCAATAAAAATAAAAAGCCAGTTAAAGTGCGAACCACGATGGCTCGATTCACATCGTTAGCCTCCGACTCCGTTAATCTGACCCTAAAACCAGCCTGAATGAGAATCTGAAACCCTCGTCTTCGTGACGGCGTGCTCAGAGTCGATAAAAGTCAAAACTGCAGCCCGACTTCTGGACACAGAGAGACGGCACGGGCTCATCAGAACTCATCACCATTGCTCCTGGTCTTGGCCATCCTCCCCACCTGTTGTTGCGGCTGGATGCGTGGCAATTGTTGACGCTGGCCGTGCACCGTCCGCTCATTTGCTCCAGGAGGCCCGCCAGGCGGGAACAGCCGCTTTGCCCGTGTTGGTAGCAGCACAGGGACTCCATACAGCTGAGGGCCTGCGTCTGGGGGGCTGGTAGAGACTGGAGGAGGGAAAGGTGAGAAGAGCCAGAAAAGGGGAGCAGAAAGAGTTGAAAGCATGGGTAGGAGGAATCACAGTGAAGGGAGGGAGGAGAAAACAAACAGGAGGATGTTATTTTGTCTCATCATCAGTCGGCTGGATGTGAAGGCTGCTGGGGGAGGACATATTTCATGCTGTCTCAGCGACAATGCATTACAGGGAAAACATACACAGCATGCCACAGGGCACTGAAAATAATCTGTTTAACCTGTGAATACATCCATCCTAAACAAAATCTACAAAACTCAAAGATCTACTTTAAAAAATCTGTTTTTGTTATTTATGATGGTCTCTGATCTTATTTGGACATTACACATTAAATACTTGCAGCCGTGGCTGAACGGCGAGTGCAGTCGTCCTCTGATCCGAAGGGGAGAGGCTCGATCCCCAGCCCGCACCCCCAAGTATCCTTAAAGCTGCCTCCAATCACAGCCCACTGCTCATCACGAGATGGGTCAGCAACATAAACGTTATTATAAACATCCAGTCCAGGGGCCTCGTTCATAAAACCTTTACTAAAACCTAATATCACTGTGCTGAAATCGAGGTGCTTGTGAGCGACGTAGAAAGAGAAAAATGTTTTATTGGCTTTGAGCGGGACGGTGCTGCTGCAGGCGGCCACAGCACGACTGTGACAGCCATCAAAAAGTAAAATTGTGGAGATATTACAAATTAAGTGAAATCTTGAACCAAAACATTTAATTTAAGTAAGTAAGTAGCAGCTAATTTGGGGAGAGGAGATTATGCGGTGACGTCACATATGCGAAATGCCCATTTCTAGTTTGTAGTCATGCCAATTACGAACTTCTACAAGCTGATAAAACTTAAAGTACGTGACTGGCGTGGTCAAAACACCCATCATTGGTTTTCATTTAAATTGCAGTACAACATATGTGTGATCCCGGGCGTACGGCGACGCGGATTAGAAATTAGCGTTTTTAGCCCCGTTGACTTGCGTTAATTTTTTCGTTCTTCCGGGGACCCGTGGTGCTCGGACTGTATCGCAAGATCTCGAAAATCCCGCACATGCCAATTTGCACACCTCAGGTCTCCGCACCGGAGCGGAGCCTTTGTAGAGCGGATACAGTATAATTTGAGTTCGGAAGCGAGTGGCAGCGGAAAGCGGGGGCGGAGCGGAGCTAGTGGAATTTTGGGGTAAGGAAGGACAGGGTCCTCGTAAGCAAGGCGGCTGGCCAGTGGCGTGTCCAGATCTTTTAAAATGGGGTGGCCCAGGTGAGGCACAACTTTGTGCATGGGTGGCACCAACGGTTATGCTTTCTTTTTTTACCCCCAAGCCTTTTGTGGACAATGAAAAGCCTATTTAAAGGTAAATTAATGTGTTGGCACCTGGGGTGGCCAATCTGATTCCAAGGGTGGCATGTACTGCCCCAGGCCACTCCCTGGACACGCCCCTGCGCCTGGCCTGGCAAGACATCGCTTTGCTAGGCCAGGCGCCTTGACATCAAGAAACACCCAATGACTGGGCTGGTTACAAAATGCTTTTTTACACTTATCTAACTCCGGGGAACATAGCAACAGACTAAATTTCATTTAGGGGTGGAATATCCCTTTAAAAGCAACCTATTTTCATTCAGGTTCTTATTTTTATTCATTCAGATTCAGGAGTGTGGGCTGACTATTGGTGTACATGTGCGCGAGGGTCTACAAGTCTGTGAATATGGCTTAGGTTAACCGCGTCACCATCTCACCGGCTGCGTTGCCAGTTTCCCCATCTCCATAAGGTTCTTACGACAGGGTCACAGTTTGTTTAAAGGTGCTCACACAAGTTGTTCTTCATAAATCATAAATGACTTCCACAACTTTCAGACACCGTTTTGTCCGTGAGCAAATGTTATGAGGCCCCTCGTCTTTTATGATCAGCTGTCCTATCGGTAACTCCACATCTTCCTTCAGAAGTAACCATCAACTGAGCTCAGCTGATCAGATAAACAAGCGGAAGCTACGAAAACTCTCAACATATTTACACGACACTTTCCCAGTACATATTGTACGTAACCCCATGAAGCACGTGAACGGATTTAGCGGCTAATCTAATTTATTATTGAGCTAATGATGCATGAGTAAACAAAAAGCATTATCAACAACAGAGGCTGTCTGGTGCAGACAAAGTACAGATAAGAGAGATAAAAAGGAAGAAGGGGAGTGAGGTTACACTCAGACACCGTCCGTCTGTATCTTCAAACAACAAAGCCACGACAGACTCACAAGAGTCTGAAATGTATGAATCATTCATGTAATAAATATTGAGTTGGAACAGTTAAAAACAATATTCTCTAAACAATACCGGCCTGATCCAACGCAAAATCTAACTTTGTAATAACTGAAAATGTCCAGCTCCTTCAGACAAGTACATTTAAATATAGTCTAGAGTCTGAAATGTTAAAGAGCAAGTCGCCCCCTACCAGATTATTACTCCGCTCCCACTTCCTGTTTGAAAAATGCAACAAATGCTGTTGCCTAGCAGACCGAGAGGGCGGAGCCACTAACAAACACACACACACACACACACACAGGCTCACAACGACATTGTGACATCATATGGTACCAGCTAACTTTCTAGGGTACCTTTTAGCCAATAGTGATGGCAGATTTAAATTGAAATGCGGTGCAGAGTTTTTACCTGACAACGGCAACTGACAGGTTTAGGCAGAATATTTTTATTTGAACTAAAATGCACTAAAGTGCTAAACTATTGACTACATGTGTCTGCAGCATGATTAGACACGCGTTTATATAGTTTATCAGAAAAAAAGTTGATTTGGGGGTGACTTGCTCTTTAAGTCTACCCAAAAACTGCTTCTGAAAGAAACATTACTACTTTTAGGTAGAAATGAAGTATGGAGCCATCTCCAGTATGCTTGACCCATTTATAACACGGAGCTTGGACACATGATGTTCGCCAGGTTTCACCGCACCAGAAATTTGAGAGACTGCTGGCATGAAACCCAACTTCTGCTTCCTAGCTGCCAACAGCTAAACACAGATCAGACTGGAGCAGAACTATCCTAGCAAGTCCTTCAGGGAAGAAAAAGCACGACGTGTCTAATATATGTAAGGCTTAAAACAAACAAAATGTAAGGCACCGGGATAAAAACTAAATTTGCTCAAGCCAACGCATCTCCAAATGAGTTGACAAACATTTGTAGGTCAGACAACATATAAACAAACATCATAGGTGAACCAACCAGGTTTGGATTATTCGGTCTCTCTGGTTTTTAAACGAACGCACTGACAGCTCTGTGTGCGTTACATCATCCATCAAACTTAGGCGGCACCACACAGCGTTCTGTGGAGTTACAGTAGATCATCTCCTGCAGGCTTAATGTTTAAAAACTACAGTATGTTCAATAAAATGCTTCACATAAAGTATTTAAAATAAATAAATAAAACAAAACAACAACAAACACTTAAAGGGATTTAAAGAGCCGAAACACATGCAGACAATGGTATACAACCAGGCCTGACAAACGGGTGAAGATGATGCAGTGAAAACAACACAGAAAGCATGCCAACAGCATTCTCCGTCTGATCCCAAACCTCATCAATGACGGTGAGGGTGAACTGTACATCTTCATGTGGTTGTAGGTGGACTTCATCATGATGAGGTAGGACAGAATGGGATCATTCACTCACCAATAATGACCAAACATGAAACAGTGCAATATGAGAGCAATTGATATGTGCAGCCGCAGGAAGGTGCTGCAGCTGTGAGAGGGTGCACGGGATTGGTTGGTCCATAGATCAAACCGGGGGGGGTCGCACAATGGGGACAATGGGAGGAAGTACAGGCCAAGAGTGGTACTACCTAGGGGAGCATGGGTCTTGGCCGGGGAAGCAGGGGGAGGATAAGCAGCTAGCAGGTGCCAATTGTCCTCCCCTGGGCTCCGCTGGGCTTTAACAGGGTCATATTCTGGGCCGACTGAACCCTCACCCTCTTCCATCTGAAGAACACAAGATACTAACAGTGAGCCCTACTGGCTAATCAAACCATCAGTCCACCAGGTAGACTGCTGGTGAGCTAAACACAGCAAAACACTCTAAACCCACGTTTGTTATTTAGTCTGATATTTGATCTTTATTTCCTTTACAAACAAAATAAGTGAATGGCTCAAAGCCGGTTTATCGTATTTCTTTAGTCACTGAGTTCAAATGGTGCCTTAATATTAAAGGTGCATTATGTAGAAATGAAGTGGTAAAATTTGATTAATGCAGCCGCTAAAACAACTCCGGAGCGTTTTGCCGGCTGTTGTCAAATTACGATCGTCGGTGCAGCAGTATTAGCGCACAGGAGACATGGCAACCCCACACTTACTGATGGTGGAAAGTAGTTGCGTCCCCCCTTCCTGTTGAAAGGAGAAAAAGTGACAATCCTCGCAGCAGCTGGATATGAAACATGCTTCAGTATAACCTTCCTTCCAAAATGACTGAAACACTAGACTCTTTGGGGATTTTCTCACTGTAAACTCACTATATTCTTACATACTGCACCTTTAAAGAACAATTTTAGGTTTATTTTGAGATGACCACGCATTGTTTCACATGTGTGGCTTTTATTTATTTCTCTAATGAAATTTGCCATTGCAAGATGGAATAAAAGACTAAATAACTATAGGTAGAGGGAAAATGGTTTTCCAGCAAAATGATAAGCGATCAGTCAGCAAGTCAGTCTAGGCAGCAGTGTTGGGTGAAACTTCATCAGGAAGATTTGTAGACTGCAAAATAAACAGTACTGTGCAAAAGTTGTAGGTTGCAAAAGAGACATCTAAATCAAACCACTACTTATTACCACCAACATCAATTATTCTAGGCACACTTCTAAATATCTTGAACTTCTTTAAAGGGATATTCCATCCAAAATTGAAATTTTGTCTGTTGACATATTTCCCAGTGTTTGATAAGGTGGAAAAAAACTATTTTTACCTAGCCCAGTCATTCTCCTGA